CGGCGAAGTCCCCGATGGCTCTACGGGTTTCGCCAGCTTACTGGCTTGCCCTCTCTTTGTCGGTGCTGCTGGCGGCTTCCCGACTTTGCTCGCCGCTGGTTTTCTTCCTCGTTTCGCCGGTTCAGGAGCCACCACCTCTACCACATCGTCTTCTTCCTCAGCAGCTGGCTCAGCTCGTGACGATTCGGTTTCTGCATCTGTAGGCAAATCACGAGATTGGAGAACTTCAGGAGTCGGATACAGTTTTCGCATTCTGCAGTTTAAGAGTTATGGAATTGGATCTTACTGCTTGACATATCAGATGAGGAACCGAAGTTGTATTTAGCAAGCCTTTGAGCTAGATCCATCATGTCATCATCGTCATCCTCGACCTCCTGCAACAGAAAATCGAAGATTTTAGTTCCATTCGCTAGAAAACCGATAAGTCCATTCTGTTTTAGAACCTCAAGTAACATACCTTTGAAGCTGCTGCCTTCTTCTTTGCTCCTTGCCTTCCTTTCGGCTTCACAACCTCAGCTACGCTATTATCTTTACAAAACAACAGGGAAATAAGAAAACAAAAAAGTTCAAGAACGAAGTGACGCATTGCAGGGTAACAAGACAAACCTGTGTCCATCGACGTAACAGACACTTCGGTTACTTCTGATTCATTGGCTTTCTTCGTGTTCTTTTTTGGCGCTTGTTTTCTCGGGGCCTGTTTCCGACCCTTTGCAGCTGCTGGAACTCCAGACCTGATTTTGGCTTGTGCTTCTTTCCTCTGTTCCTCGGCTTGAGCATCACTCATGTCAAGTTTCTGCAGTTTCAACAACATAGCGTCAGAACAACATTTACCTAAGACAGTAGTTTTGCTTTGAGAAGTACTAAAATTTGTTTTTCTTCTCAATCTCATACGTCGAGTTCGACTTCAAGTGAATCTAGATCCTTGAGCCAGAGAGACTTTGGAGTCGCTTTCCTCAAGTCTTCTACTTCCTCATTCATTTTATCCCTCTCTGCACATAACTCCTGGACCTTCTCCAGAGTCAATGTGGCAATGGCCAATGATAATAGATAGTCGTAGTCAGAGCCCTGTACAAAAGTGGAACTCGGAGCTGCGGCCGGTTCTGAGCTTTCTTCAGATTCTTCTGTTGTGTCAGTTGCTCCGGCAACTGCAGCTTCTACAGGCTTAGCCTTCTTCGGGAATGGCGTGAAGCCTTTCTGTCTCAACTCCTGAAAAAGGTCGGCTTTCTTTCTGTTGCTCACAATGATTTCTCCGCTGACGACTCCAAGGATAAACTTCACCTTGTTCTCCAACTTCAGCAACTCGAGTTCAAGATTCTCCAACAGAATTTTCTGTAAGCACAAGATAAGGGTGAATGGATAAGTAACTGTTGTTTGCATGACAACAAGAAACCTCGGATACATCTCCAACAGAGTAAAAAGATTCCAACCTTTCGTTTCTCGTAAAATTGCAGCCTGAGGTCAAAGAACTCCTCAAGGACTGCAACAGCATGTCATCATGTTAGTATAATTTTTAAAAGGAAGAAACACAAATGAAACTAATTATTAGTCTACAGCAAACGTGTCATACTTTGTTCTGGAGTCTCGTATTTCTTTATAACACCATTTTGGTCAAAGAGATGCATGTTGCTGGTGCTGATCGTGGTGGTGAGTTTAAATTTTTTCACCAAGCCCTCTTGTTGGGCGGCAATCATGTTCTCCTCACTAAGTATAAGCTCGAAATCCACAGTTGTATCATCACTGTACTCCCTGATGTTCTGCAGAAACCAAGAAGATGTATGAGAAAGAGAATAGCAAGAATATTGACTAGATGGTTTCTGATGGAGGCTGGCACTTTACCAGGATGAACGGGCCGTAATCTGTCTTCATTGAGCGCAAGAATTCCCTGTAGTCATCAGTCCACCTTCTTATTGGCAGCTCCTTGACGCGAAGAGTCGTGTCATCAACCTCCTCGATAATTCCAGTGACTGTGTAGGTGGCCCCACTTTCTTTGGTTGAAGTTTTTTCGATAGTTCCCTTGAAACCTCTATACCAAGGATCCATAGGCACCATAGTCTCACCGTTCAGCAGACGTCTCACATTAGCAACAACTTCTCTTGGGTTGTAGTTAGGTATGAAAGAACTCCACCCGGTTCCGATTCCCTCACAGCCATTGACTAGAACAGTTGGTATGATGGGCATGTACCTAAGAAGCATACTATAGTAAGATAGCTGATGTTTCAAAGTCAAGCAAAAATGTTAGTAAGGGTTGAATTAATACCAAGTTGGCTCAATGGATTGCCCATCTTCATTCAAGTAATTAAGAAGAACGTCATCATCCTTTGGAAACAGTACTCTTGTGATGGGTGAGAGCTTAGTGAAAATGTATCTTGCACTGGCTGCATCTTTTCCTCCCTGTGACCACGATCATGAACACACTAATGAATAACTACAATAAGGCAACAAGAATTTGTTTATTCTGATGAGATGGCAAGTTTCACTTAACATACCGAGGTACGTGTACCAAATTGACCCGATGGTTGAAGGAGGTTGATGTTGTTGCTGCCAACATAATCTTGAGCCATACCTATGATGGTATTGGCAAGACTCTGCTCACCATGATGATAAGCAGAATGCTCCGATACATAACCAGAGAACTGGGCTACCTTGGCTTCTTTGATGAAGTTTCTCTTGAATGAGCAGAAAAGGATTTTCCTTTGACCTGGCTTAAGCCCATCAACCATCGACGGAATTGATCTTTGAAGATCAGCCATGGAGAACAAGATAAGTTCTTTGTTGACAAAGTCACTGTACTTAATTCGCTTCTCCTTCTGATCCAGATGAGTGCCAGGCTGCAAGAGAGAATGAGAAAGTGTCAGGTAGTGCACAAGAAACTTGTAGAAATAGTCATTCAAGAATCCTCCATACCTCAAAGTTCAAAAGCCAGTGTTTCCGGGCCTCTATCTTCTTTTTACTGAATGCAAGCTCAATAGCCTCCCCATCTTGTTCAGTTTCCCAGACAAAATCCTTCTTGTGAAGGTCAAGATTAGAAAAGTATTCCTTGCCCTCCTTAGATGTACTTGTACCCAACCCCTACAAGGACAAAAGGACAGTCAGTAAGCCGGAAACATAAAATGTCTCCAAAACCGCACCGTTATCAAATACTACAAAAGCAAACCTTATAGTATTTGATGGACCATCCACTCGCATTACCCCTCAGGCCTTCTTTCCAGGCTTCATACTCAGGCATGGAGTAAAATGACAACACTCTTCCGCTCCTGTGAGTAGCCTGAGCATGATTTTAACTTCATTGTTAATTTTTTTTATTAAATCAAAAGAAGCAGCCTAGAATCATGTAAGGTTTACGTAATACAACTTGCCTTTATAATAGGAGTTATAAACTCAACCAAGAAAGATGGAACTTTCAGTAATGTTGGCCAGAACGAGTGAATGAAATTAATTAAAAGGCCCTTGATATGGGAACCATCATGATCCTGCACAAGATAAGATGACAGGTTTTGTCAAGACAAGTTATAAACAAGAAGAACAAACACAAGAGTACAAAGAAACTCAAATGGTGCCTACCTGATCGGTCATGATCATCAAATGACCATATCTCAGTGAGCTAACACTTTCATATTTCATGTGTTGCTTCAGTCCAAGAATCTTCTTGATGTTCTCAATTTCCTTGTTATTAGTAATCTGAGTGGTGCTGGCTTCCCTCACGTTCAGTAGTTTACCTCTAAGGGGAAACACACCATAATAGTCGCGACCCACAACAGAAAGCCCAGACATCTGAACATGACCATCGTTGCAAGCTTATAAGTAAAAACTAGAGTTCTAAGTGCTAAATATGTCGCAAAGACAGATCAAGAATACTTACAGCTAGAGCTTTAGCTGAATCTCCTTCTGTCAAGATCAAGGTACATCTGTGGGAGTTCCTCCCTCCAGCTTCATTTGCATCCTCTAACTTCTCAACTTGAACTTTTTCAGTCTTGGCTCCATCACTTTTCTTAAGCTCTTTGCTCTGCTTGAAAGTTGCCCATGAAAGTAAATTATCCACTACACCAGACTTAGCCACTGCATGAAATGAAATTCAGAAATTGAGAAAAAGTCTTGTGAAGACTAGTTTCATTGCTTAGCCAAAAATACAGATGATGTACCTTTCTTCAGCACGTCATCAGAAAGTTCACATTTAGAGCCAAAACTACTCTGTCGAAGAGTCAAAGTTTCCTTGGTTTGAGAATCAAATGCAGGATTGTCAATCAGGGCGTTGACAAACACCCAGAGATGGTTCTTCACGTTATGGGCCTTAACATTAGCGTTTTTGTTTTTTTTGTTGACAACACCCACAATGTAGTTCGCGATCTGACTGGTCACATAATCAACATGTGTTCCACCCTTGATTGTAGCTATTGAGTTAACAAAGCTGACCTATTAGCATAAACATGTACAAAGATTAGAGCAACTCAATACTCTTCAAAGAAGGAGACCAAAATATAAAGCCGATTTACCTGTTGAAATTGTCCCTCACTTAAGCTTACGCAGACCTCCCATCTGTCATTAACTTTCTCTGAAATCCTAAACGCTTGCAAGTCCAAAAATCAAATCCTACTCAAGGACAAATATTTCATAGATAAGCAAATATCAAAAGTCATTAAGCAAACCTTGGGAGGGGCTCCGATCGCGATTTGTTTGCTGCACGAAGGTAGAGATCTACATAATCATTGAATGATTTCACAGGAATCCGTTTGCCGTTAAGCTCAACCTTCACAGACTTTCCCAAGCATCCAGCTAAGTCGAAAACACGTTTGCTCATTAACGCGACCGCATCATCCTCTAAATGAGCCATGTTGAACTTTGCCAAGTCGGGCTTGAACGAGACCTTTGTCCAATTATCACCCTCTTTACACTTGGTTATGGTGGGTTCAGACTTCTTCCCCATATTGTTCGAAAACACCTAACGTAATCAACAAAGGTGAATTCCCTTAGTTACATTACAATTGGTTTCAAAACAAATCCACGTCATATCAACTTCTCATCAGAAGCCCTAATCTACGTTGAGATAAGAAACCAGAAAGAGATGCATCATAAAACAAGCCAAGACCATGAAGATGCTAATGCTTCTGTCACTAACACAAATCAATTGAAACATCAATCACTCTATGGCCTCTAAACTAAAACGATTTACGAAACGAACCTGCTTGTACTTCTTTTGCCTTTTCCCATCCGCAGTCTCGATGATGAACTCCGTAGAGAAGATGTTAGTAAGCTTGGCGCCATACCCGTTTCTTCCACCAGTGGTCTTTTTAACTGTATCGTCATAGTTACTACTCGTCAGCAAATGCCCAAAAATCATCTCAGGCACATAAACACCTTCCTCCTGGTGAATCTCAACGGGAACTCCATCTCCATTGTTGTAGACACTGATCAGATTCTGCTCCACATCGATCACCACCTTAATCGAATCCATCGACGGATCCCTCTGCTTGTTGTCCGCAGCATTGACAAGGATCTCGTCGAAGATCTTGTACAAACCAGGAACATAAGTCACAGCTCGGTGAACCATCTCATCATTCTCGTAAACCCAGAGCGTCTGAGTATGCTTCTCGATGGATCCAACGTATGTGTCCGGCCGGAGCAAGATGTGCTCGAGCTGGGATTTCTTCTGGTACATCTCCTCGATCGTCTTCCCTCCACGCCCCGCGACGTTGACATTGTTGCTGCTCTGTAACGGAAGTTTAGTAGCCATCGTAGGGATTCGAGGTGTTTCCGAGGGAGAAACAGAGATCTGAAAGAAGAATCAGAGAATCGGAGAGAATTAGGGTTAGGGTTTTAGAATCGATCGCAGAGAGAGAAGGCGAGAGACACAGAGGGAAGTGTCTTTTGCTGAGAGAGGAGGAGAGAGAGAATGAGTATATGGAAGAAAGGCTGCAACGGTCGGATGAAGTAGAGATTGAAAATTCAAATTTTGAATTTGAGATAGAAGCGGGAGATTGGAGAATTCAAGAATCCGAAGATTCCACCGAAGAGGTACGATTGATATCAGGGAGATTTGATCCGACGGCTGCAATTTCTCGAGATTGCTTTTGGGTTTAGGCCCATTAGTCATGGGTTAGTTTTTTATTGGACCTAGAAAATATGACATTTGCCTTTGAGGCCCAAACTTATAATATGATTAATCGCAAAAAGATAATTAAACACGAAATGATATTTCTTTTTGGTATGACAATTGATATTAGAACGTTTTCATTTAGTATCAAAATTAAAAATTATTATAGAATAGTTTTCTATAAAAAAAAATATAATAAGTTAATATATAATTTTGATATTAGGATATTGTGATTGGCAATGAAATATTTGCTTGACTGGAATCAAAATCTTGTGTTTTTTCTACTGTCCCGAAAAATCATGTAATTACTAATTCCATTATTCGATGTAGTTTATTACATAAAAACACCCATATATTTCTCTTTGTAAATAAACACTATGCCTTCTTTTATACAAATTTAACCTTGGAAAATTTGGATCTGAAAATTTAATATAGAGAAATAATATAAATGAGAATATTTTTAAACACCTAATCATGTATCTTTTTCTTTTCTTTTTTTTTGCACGAAATCATAGAGATTCTTCTTAATTTGTTCTGGTTTTTTCCATCTATACCTCAAAATACTAAAAATATATATTTGAACCTCTCCATGCTAATTAGGAAAATATGAAGGAAAAAAAAATTAAATCATACTAAATATTGAGAATATTTCTGGAAACAAAGAATTAAATGAATGGCTTCATGGGATTGAGGTCAGGAACTTGATCAATATTCAATAATTGTTTGGGCTGATGACGTCGATGTCGACGTGGCATTATGCTTGGCATTTAATTAGAAAAACGGCCTTATCCGCACCGTTGAATACGTTACTGGGCCCAAATTTTGGAATATAAGAAAAAAACATTGGCATCATTCTCTTTTTGTATGGCAATGTTGGCATATCTTTCGGTCTTCACAGTTCACACGTTAGTTCGGTGGTTAAAAAAAAAAATTAAATAATATATATATTGGAACTAAATGTCATCTAAAGATAATTTAGATATAAAGTTTAAAAAATAAAAGTAGTTGAATTAGTATTGAAAATAAAATAACGGGAAAAAAATAAATGTGAGTATTTATAAAATACAAATAATTTTAATAAAATCTAGTCCAAATAAAATAAAAACTAATCAATAACTACTTTAAATTATATATTTTTTCGAATGAAATATTCGTGTATACTGATTTTTTTGAGTAATTATATATAAATTATTTTATCAAATTCGGATGGCAAAATTCTGTCATTTGTTCGGTCATATCTGTCCATTCCCCCACAAATAATATATTTCATTAATTAAAACGTCAGGACGGAATAATTTTAGTGGTTTGCATTTCTTGTGCTCTCTAATGGCACAATTAAATAAATAATTAAATGTTCCACGTTTAGAATAAGATATTTTAACCAAAAAAAAAAGATTAAGATATCAATGCAAGTGTCATATAATCACAAAAGAAAGCGTCACTGTCATCGTCTTTAATTTTCACAGTGATTTGGCAGCGACCAATACGAGGGGCAAAGAGACGAGAGAGGGAGGGAGAGACAGAGAGACAGAGAGAGAGAGAGAGAGATGGGTCTGATCAAATCCGCCATGGCCGACGCTGCAATAACTTCAATGTTCGTCTTCACCTTACCGTTCGTACCGCTTCTATCATCCATCGTCTCCAAATCTCTCGGAATGGATCCAAAATCTCTCTCTCTCCCAAATCTCTTCATAACAATCACTTTGGTCGCCATGATTATGCTTCTGTTTGGCACTCTCGCCGGAGCTCTCGGCGGCGCCAGCTTCAACCCCGCCGCAGCCCTCTGCTTTGCCGCCGCCGGCCTCCGAAAACCCTCCGCCGGCGAACCTTCTGTCATCATCAGGTCGGCGGGTAGGCTGCCGGCTCAGGCCGGCGGAGCAGTCATCGGTGCACTCGCCGTCGTCAAGGTTATGCCGGTGGAGTACCAGTCCCTGCTTCGAGGGCCGGTTCTCAGCGTCGACTTGTTGACTGGTACAGTGTCCGTGAATTCATAACCGGGTTTAAAGCCCCGGTTCAGTCCTGTTTTTTGTGGTAGGAGGAGTTAGTAGGGATGGATTTAATTTGGTTTGTTTTGAATTCGGTTTATTTATGCCAGATTCGGTTCAGACTTTTTCCGGGTTGATAATTCGGACCAATAATTGGTTCCAAGTTTGGTTTGGGTCTAGGACTCTAGGTTAATTCCGGTCCGAATATAAAAACAAAATTTATTCTTGAATCAAAACAATTTTGGTTTAGAATTGGTCTACTTTTTTTTTCCTAACAAATTGCTTTGTTTCTTTGGTCAAATTAAACAAAATTAAACCTAACTAAATAGGATTCTATTATATTTGACTTTTTTTTTTATAACTAGGAGGTTCCATGACCTGTTCGACTAATTGTCAATACATGGATAGTAAATAGCTATATTTCATCATTACATGATTTTGCTACAATCATGCAATATTTCATTCACCCCAAATAAGCTCATTATCTGGCAATTTATATCCTTAGTTTAACCGGACCCGGTTTACTGCAGGTGCTATAGTAGAAGGAATCCTCACATTTGTGCAATGCTTGTATCTGCTTGTGGTAATGGTGAAAGGCCCAAAATTGCCGATACTGAAGACTTGGTTAATGGCTGCGACCACAATAGGATTGTTCATGATTGGCTCAGGTTTAACCGGTCCCGGTATGAACCCGGCTATTTTAGGCTGCCGGCTCAGGCCGGCGGAGCAGTCATCGGTGCACTCGCCGTCGTCAAGGTTATGCCGGTGGAGTACCAGTCCCTGCTTCGAGGGCCGGTTCTCAGCGTCGACTTGTTGACTGGTACAGTGTCCGTGAATTCATAACCGGGTTTAAAGCCCCGGTTCAGTCCTGTTTTTTGTGGTAGGAGGAGTTAGTAGGGATGGATTTAATTTGGTTTGTTTTGAATTCGGTTTATTTATGCCAGATTCGGTTCAGACTTTTTCCGGGTTGATAATTCGGACCAATAATTGGTTCCAAGTTTGGTTTGGGTCTAGGACTCTAGGTTAATTCCGGTCCGAATATAAAAACAAAATTTATTCTTGAATCAAAACAATTTTGGTTTAGAATTGGTCTACTTTTTTTTTCCTAACAAATTGCTTTGTTTCTTTGGTCAAATTAAACAAAATTAAACCTAACTAAATAGGATTCTATTATATTTGACTTTTTTTTTTATAACTAGGAGGTTCCATGACCTGTTCGACTAATTGTCAATACATGGATAGTAAATAGCTATATTTCATCATTACATGATTTTGCTACAATCATGCAATATTTCATTCACCCCAAATAAGCTCATTATCTGGCAATTTATATCCTTAGTTTAACCGGACCCGGTTTACTGCAGGTGCTATAGTAGAAGGAATCCTCACATTTGTGCAATGCTTGTATCTGCTTGTGGTAATGGTGAAAGGCCCAAAATTGCCGATACTGAAGACTTGGTTAATGGCTGCGACCACAATAGGATTGTTCATGATTGGCTCAGGTTTAACCGGTCCCGGTATGAACCCGGCTATTGCCTTTGGTTGGGCTTATGCGAAGAATCGGCACAACACTTGGGAGCTTTACTCCGTCTATTGGGTCGGTCCTCTCGTCGGTTCAATTTTTGCCGGTCGGGTTTTTGGGCTTTTCTTTACCGAACCGGTTAAGGTAAAGAAGGCATAGCGCAGAAATGCACGTGCGGCTTGGTTGATTTATTTTATTTATCAAAATAAACGTGACTGCGCAAGGTACTATCAATTTTTGTATTTAGACCCCTTTTATGGTAACAATTAAAATAAAAATAAATTTTTATACATTTTTATTTTGAATAACATAACAAACGATTAGTAAATCAGAGAAGTAAAGGAACTGAAGTAAAATTTCTGATTGTATTATCTAAAATAAAGAACACAAGTTTCTTCAAGTACAAAAGGAAAAAACCGAAAACCAAGAAGAGAAAGCTAACCGGACAAGAAACCAAACCAAATACACAGCCTAAGAAATCAGACATGAAAAGACAGTTCTCATCAAATTTTGTTATTAGGGAAACCTGAAAATTGGATCTGGACTCGGGTATTTGCTTTGAGATGATATTTACTCAAATGATGACATTTTACCTTCGGATTCTAAAGAAAATACATTAAAAAAAAGTTAAATGAAGAGTCCCAAAATTTTGGATCCGAATTTAGGTCATCCAAAAATATCTAATACGCAATCCGAGCCAACTCTAATATATTGTAAATGTTATGGAAAAAAACTGAAATTCTTTATTTGAATACCCGGTCAAAATAACTTCCATATCCTATTTTCATATATCCGGTCAAAATAAAACCGAGATCGGATAATATCTCACAAAATCCGAGATATTCAAATTCGAGTTCGGATATTCCAGAAATTTTGGATACCCAACCGAAATGTACCCTAACTTTTTTTTTTATAATCTGAAAGTTCACTGGACATTTGGTCTAACTACATCTTTCAGAGGATTGGAGAAGCTCATTTGAATGCACCTCTCCAAATGAAGACTCGAACCCCGGTTGGGAAGCCTAGTTAGGTACTAAGATGATTTCAGCTCTCTTCTACACCAATGGAGTCCTTATCGTCGCGGGAATTCGATAACTTGACGAGTCTATGCAAGTTTAACACTATACGAGACAGGATGAGGCAGAGCATGGTTCATTTGCCTGGTTCCTCTCTGGTCACGAGTGTTCATCGAAAACATAGATGAATCCCGGGATCCATAACCTACAGTCTTGTCTAAAAGGAAAACATAGCTAAGGGTACAATGAATTTGCATCGGAAAAAGACCTCTCTATTTCAAGATTCGTGTAGCAAGATATCGGTATGAAACGATGAAACCCTTTTTATTGCGGGAACTGCAGCATTGGTCTAACGTTGATTTTTGCATCGATAACGAAGGATAAGAGCAGAATCATCTTTATTTAGAATCCGGAAAGGAAAATGACAGATGATCTAAATGTGAAACTGTGTACCTATATGAAGACAGTATCGCCATGTAAGCGTGCAGCATTCCCGGATGAATCCGCTGAGGCTTCTTGGCTCTTCATTTGCTGCTATCATCCAATATCCCGACAAGGCATTTCTCCAGTAAAAACTCGTCATTGACCCAAGCATGGTATTTGTCTGATTTCAACATCTAAGGATCACAAAGACAGAACAATGCCCTGAACTGATTAAGAAATGCAACAAGGGCTCATCCCAATATAGTGCTGGAACTTGTCCTGTGACTTCTCAGGGCTAATTTACACAGACTAACATCCGGAATCACAGGTAAATTACGAAAACACGTTGCAATTAAGGAATCTTCACAATGAGAGCAGGCCACGTTAAAAGGATACTGAACAAGGAGGTACAGTCTTTCCCCACAGCCTTCATCAGCATATCCACCCCTGTTAACAAGACTTTATCAGACCACGCGAGTGACCAGTAGGGCATGATTCCATCCAATTTATTATTATTATTTTGCAGAATATCTGTTCTTTCGAAGACATAGATGAGACCATCATACCTCCAGGATGGAACTTCATGTACGGGGTTATATTGTATACACGCCCCTTGAGAACAGTCCACATGGAACCTTCTCCTCGGTGCTGTTTCACTTCATCCATGGGAATAAGCCTTCTGTTTGACAGTCCCTTCAGGTCTGGAAACAATTCGAGCGATATATTCGTTATCTGTATCAAACGTATGCTTCTTTCAAATTCTCTCCAATCAAAGCAAAGTCATTCAAGGTACCCGCAAGATCGGGATGTGTCTGTGTTAACTTCATCCAGTCCATTTGGCTGTAACCCTTCTCAAATGGAACCTTTGACCGAGCTGCAGGCTTCTTACCCGCAGCTTTGGGTGCCTGCAAACCAGTTCCTGAAGTTTTAGGATTCGCAGGCACTGCTTGTCTCGACTGTTCACTGCCCTGCTTAGATGATGACACATCAATCACACTGAAGGACAAAGATCCAATGGTCTCCTTCTTTGGAGAAACATGATTCAGAGACTGGTCTTTCCACAAAACACCATCACTATGGTTTCCGGGTGCACGGTTTGACGATTCATCCTTAAGGGTAATACCGCCTACATTCGACGCAAGGTCCTTGGCCATGAGATCATCTTGAATATCTGGTGCCGCGACCTGAACGGAACAGACCAAGTATCTTAATGTCTAAAACAAAGCACATAAAAACAGCCCTCTTATTCATGAAGACCAAATCTCGTCCGATGAAATGAAAAGAACTTTGCGGAATCGTGTAAGAACGATTGCATACTCACCCTGCAGAATGTGAAATCATCTTCTCCACTATCCATAATCTGAACTAAAATACTTCAAAAATGGAATTGAACAATCTGCAATGGTTATAACAAATCATATCAGCGCCAGATAAATGCATGCTTCAAATCTTACGAGCTGTGATGCGAAATTAGGGAATCCATAGATCATGACGAACTCGATTCCAAGAACCCAGAAATATAAAACTGAAATTCGGAGAACCCACTGCAACAACCCGATAGATTTCGAATCCAACTCGAAAATCCAGACATCATCGAACTTCGACAAACCCAGGAAAAGACAAACAAAAATAATGCCAGATCGAGGAAAATTACGCAATCGGAGAAGTGAGATTCGATGACCTAGAAGAAGAATCTGGACGAATTGTGAGGACGAGAGAAGGGATAAGCTTAACATTGGTGAACAACGAAGTGGAAACGAAATCAATTACGAGCGAGTAAGAAATCACTAACCTCGCTTGATTTCTTCCTCTGATCTTCTCAAATTACGAAATTGAATAAATCGTCAATTAAAAAAGGGGGAAAATTAGAGGGAAAATGCGACCATCTGAAAAGGATATTTTGACTAAATTTTCTTGACCATCTCCAAGCGACCGACCGACGGCGTCGATTATATTACGATAATTTTACTTTTCCAATCTCATTTTTTAAATTTTTATTTTATATTCGAGAAACAATTCAATTAATAATGACTCGAGTCCAATTCAATTGTAATGAATCAAAGTTAAGTCCAAAATCACATGGAAATTTAAAATAGCTATAGATATTATCCCATAATCAATAACCCCTGATATTTATTCCTGAAAAAGATTAATACTTTTTGTTCTGAAAAAAAATCTAAATCTAAATCAATTTTATTATTTCAAAATGGAGCAGCAGTCCGCCTCCTGGGCCAAGAACAGGACAAAAAAAATCTAACTACAATATTTTCACTAACAAAAGTTTCTTCCTGAGATGAAAATGACGAGACAATTTCAGAATCATACACTCGTATTGCGGGAAATTCCTCAACTGTTCATAATCAGACAGAAATCCATGGGAACTGCGGAGAAAAATTCCAACTTCATCCACCGGTTTTTTGTCTATAGATTGATTCTGTCATGAGAATCGATTGAACAACCTTGTTCTAATCGGATTTCCTGTAGACGACAACTGACGCTTGATGATCACGATCAACCTTAAAATGGGCGTGGAAAAACCGTTTGATCTGATAAATCGAGGAAAAAAAAATGGATCAGATAATGAGTGGTATAATGCAAATGTGAGTTAAACTGTATGTTCTGTCTCTGTACTTGCCTCTTTGTAGGAATGTCCAACCAGAAAATCTCCTAGCTTTGATTCTTCTGATGAAAACAGGACAATGTGACTGGGTTCCGACCAGTTTCTGGCTAACTCTGATGCAAAGCCCGAAGGATCCACCAGGAAACGGTCCGACTCGTCAAGTATTCCTTTCTCTTCTCTATTTGAACAAGAAGCCAGAAAAAGCTTAAGAATCAAATACCGATTTACGGGCAGAAACATATAAGAAGAAAGATCATGACTTGGCAGCAAATACTGATTCATACCCGGGCGTGCAGTCCAGAAAATACATTGGAATATTCTTGTGGAGAGTGGAGTAATAGGGCGTAGAATGGCATGGCATGAGGAAAAGAATGCTCTTTACACTCCCCTTGTGTGCTTCTCGTGACAAGAAGTTCATCACATCCTCGGTGCCCCTCTGTTAAATGTTCGAGCAACATTCCCATTAGAAAACTTAAGAAAACAAACAAGTTTTATCAAGTTTACCCACAAATAATCAGTTTACCTGATGGACTAAAGTCATGTAGAGCGCCATCGGGACATTTGTAATGAGCAAAAACAAGATTGAAAGTTTCAGTTTACGAGACCATTTGATCTGCTTCCTCTGAGGGATCGGCTTTTGACTGCTTGTCAGTGAAACAGATGCTTCAATCTCGGCTAGTGCATATCCGGAGAATATCAAAGCTATGGGTAGCACAGGTAGCACAAACCTGTCATTCAAAATCCAAGTAAACGACGAACATAATTCATGAACAGCGAAGTTGTGAAGACAGAAACCGAAACGGGTATTGTTCTATAGTCTTATACCTGAATTCCTTGTGACCAAGAACACTGTATAGTGCTAAAACCCATAAAACAAGAGCGGAAAGCTTCCGGTTTTTAGACTTGATCATACCAGCTATGGAGAATGGTGTGAAGGTGAAAAGCATGACGAGAAACCCCTGAGTGAAGTACCAGTGCCATGGATGAGTTCCATAATAGTCTCCACCCGATGAAAGAAAATTGAACTTCAAAAAATTGAGAGGTACAATGATCCATGAACCATACATCAGACGGTCCAACAAACACGTGAGCCCGAGGATGAAAGACCTGATACCAAAAAGGGGGGGGGGGAGCAGAATGAAATTTCGAAAAGCAAGCAAACAATGGTCATGCATTTGCAGAGTAACACTCACCCAATCGGAATCACCTCAAGAATGACAAATTTGAGCTTATCGTGCGATAGAATCAGTTCAAGTGTCCCAACATATAACCAAATAATAGCACTCGTCGGTCTAACGGCACATGCCAGGGCTGCTATGACCAGGCCCCACTTCCTACTGAAGGCATTGTCCCTTGAAGAGTCTCTAAAACATGGCCAGTAGTACAGGCTTACGATGGTAAGAACAGTCTCTAAACAGTTTGAAAATGTTCGGTTCAAACAGAAGAACACAAACCAGTTTGTCAGCTGACAAAAGAGCTATAAAAAAGAATTAAGGAGTTCAATACAAACAGATCCAAAACACATGAACTACATAGGTTTAAAAACAATAACAGAACACATAAATAAAAAACCATCGAATTATGTTAATACATGTATGCTACATGGAAAGGATACAGTCCATTTTGCAACCTTTTCGCCGTACAGGGCATCTGAGAGTTTATACAAGTATAAATCACCAAGAGCTGAAAATACGGATTGAAGGAGACGAGGGGCTTTAATCTGTAAAAAGAGCGAAGGTTACAACTCTAATTTCAAGCCATGCAAGATCAAAATAATCAACCATTAATGTTCAAACAGAACTCACAGAAATCCAGAATGTAAAGCATGTGAGTACATGCAAAACAGATGATTATGTAACCAAGAAACTGAATTCTTGTCAAAATAACCACCAATTGACGTGGACAAACTATAATTTGCTACAATCCTTCAAGTTCCTTTAGAACACGGTGAAAATGTATTGTTAAAATGTAAAAGCCTAGACGAAGGCAATGCAACTAGTCCCGCCATTCTTCGACAATATGAGGAGAATATACGTCAGAAATATTACGTTCTCACTTAGTATTAGAAAAAAAAGATAACATGGCTGAAAGTAACATCATTTCTTGCAAAGCCAAGAAACCAACTCATTAGCAACCAAGATCCTGCCAGCGAAAGAACAATACTGACCATGAAGAATGGAGTATCAAGACCCTTCCAAGCAATAACTTTGTAGAATACCACAAACACCATCGGATGCAAGTAGCTGCGGATCCCTCTCTGCCACTCCCATGTCAAGTGACCGTACCTGTCGACAAGATCAGTCAGAAAACGTGTAGATGATCTGACATATAACATATAAACACACCTAAAATAACGAACCAACATCCAACAGAGAATTTTAAACTTGCACGATTAGTAAAGATGAAAGTTCTAGCCAAAACATATACAGCATAATCACTGACCAAATGTACTTGCCTATATTTTCACTTCTACTACATACATATATGCCCTGAGATGAACTCAGTAGTTGGTTTTGGCAGTAGATAAACAGAAACCTATCATTTTCCTGGAAATTTCCGCCCAGCAAGACAGAATCATCGAGTCCAAATCAATTCCCACAAAATCCAAGCCACGATCACAAAAGGGCACATTCCAAAACAAGATATTTCTCAAAAACCCTTTACCCGAACACAATGCGGTGAGCGACTTCGAGAGACTGCCAATGTTCATCGGGATTGAAATACGTTTGGATCAGCAACGCATTCACCGCCCGAAACAACAGACAGAACAAGAATATTCTCCTCGGAGAACCGAAGATGCCGCATTTCAGAGATCCACAGAGGGAATCTTCCTCCTCTCCCGCCGTGAGATTCCTGCGATCAACGCCGCCGTCGGCGACGGCGTGCTTACGCTTCCTCATTTCAAGTGAAAAAAAAACAGTTTTTTTTTCTATTTGGGGTTGGAGGGCTTATGGCAAAGTTGGCTTTAAGGGAGACTTTGCGGAGTCATGGAGGATCTGTTCAAACTTCTCCGTTCTAATTCGTAAGAAACCAATCACATACAGAGGCTGCGAAACAACAAGAAAACATTTCCGATTCAGACATTTTCTCGAACAGTTTGTGAGCATTCAGCATATCACATAACCCAAGTCCAAGAACAGCGAATTTAGAAAAAAAAAATAACTCGAGATTCAATCAGAAACAGTCAAAAATGAAAATCAGAAAGTAAAATCCAGAGAATCGTACTCACGAACTTGAGTCCGGAGACAATCATCACAGTCTCCTTTTTTCCACCGATAAGATTGCACCGGATTCGGTAGTATTAAACTACAGATTTAATCGATGATGAATCGGAAAACTGGTTATGCTGAGATCAGAAATTAATATTAATTTTATATATACAAAATTTAATAATTAAATTAATTTTCTGAGTTATTATGATGTTCCCTACTATGATTCTACAAAGGCAACTTCAAGAGTACATTACGTTTCGATTCATCCTATCCCTGAAGATATATGTGTATTTAGAAGGACAAAATCTAAAGGCATAATGGATCGATGGTTGGCTTCCGTGAAAACAAAAAAAACGATTTTCTGAGTGATTCATAGACTGCAAGCATTTCTAAACGGTGCCGCAAAATTTCATTATCCGTCATCTGTGAATGAAACGGATAAAACCCTTGCCGTAAAATACAGTCTCAGTAATTACCGAAATTCTGAACGGGCGACATTGGTCGGAATCGGGTTCTCTGTCCGGTCATGGTATGAGCGAACGCGATTGGCATTGGGGGAGAGCAGCCGCCATGGTCGATCTCGGGTTTCGGATCTAACGCCGATTCGTCTCCGCGAACCGCGAGTGCCTTCACGATGTCGCCTCCAAATACCGGTGAACTTCCGGATTATAAAAAAAAAACATTTGTTCCATGACTTTTTGTTTGTTTTAAATTATTTTATTTCCCGCGATACCACATGAGCATTTCAGCATCAAAGATCTATTTTTTTTATAATTCGGAATTTTATCCAATATTTATCCAAAAATTCGGACGAATATATCTTCTTATATTTAGATTTAAACTCAAAATAAAAGTAATGAATACATCTCCTCATATTTAGATATAAACCCAAAATAAAAGCATAGTCTAGATGTCGTATTATCACTACACCACCCGGATACAAAGATCTATGTTTTATGCTACTGAAATTTAAAAATACGTTGATTCATATATCCATATATATACATGTTCTTTGTTTTATTTTTTTCTTCTTTTCTCTCTTTTTAATTTCCGCATTTTATTTTCAATATGGTATCAGAGCAGCGTTGTGATATGAACTATATGTTTCTCTTTTTCTAATTTTCTAATCTTTTTTTTTTTTCGTTTTGGATGTTCATATATCCAAATCGTTCGAAATGAAGTAAAAAAACAGACTCAAATGATGTATTATGATAAAAAGAAGTCAAAGCTAAAAACTCTAAGATCAAGTAAGATGGTATGACAAAAAGAGTTAAAACTATAACTTTAAAATCTGATTTGAAAAAGTTAGTACTCTCTAAATGAATGAAATTTGGTGTTTATGGATTGTTTTAATAATAGTGAAGTTTTTCATCATTTTGTTTTAACTTCAAGATTGATTTTTGAATTCTTTCAAAATCAATCTTGAGGGGTAATGTTAAAATAGAAACAAAATATGGAAATTTGATATGATTGATAATAATTAAAGGCATTATAACAATTAAGAATAAAATATATATTATGTCAATTATATTTTGTCTTATTTGTTTCTTTCGTATCTTTATTTTCTTGTTTTTTTCAATAATTTTTTTATAAATATATATATTATTTTCATTATAATGTAACAAGAAGAAGATATGTAATAATAAAAGTGTTCTTTGTTTTATTTTTTTTTATTTTATCTCTTTTTAATTTTTGCATTTTATTTTCAATAATACACAACGAGTTTGTTTAGAGTGAGATGTGACTTGTCATTTCTTTTTCATCGTCGGCAGATATTAGTTGTCTTGTTTTTTTTTTCCAATAATAATAATGTGGGTGTGTCCCTTTTTAATGCGACTTATCTATAGCAACAACAACAATAATAATTCAGGAAGATCTCTCTCTCTCTCTCTCTCTCTCTCTATTACATCTGTCTTCTACTTGTCTAAATTCGATTGGTATGCACAATACACTCAGTGATCAATAATCTCCATATATACAGTATCGTCGCCTTTCGCCGGTAAGATATCTTTCCAGCATCCCGAACCCTCCGATTCCGTTAGAGGCTCTCACTCGGTGGGGATTTTTTCAGTCTTAGACCAGCCAATTTAGCAAATCTCCACCTATAGATTATGAAAGTCGATTAGAGTCTTTCAACCTTCTTATATATATATATATATATTCAGTATTTATTTTCTCATATTTTTCTTTTACACATATTCTAAATCCTACATTGATCTTGTTACTACATGTTTGTGGATCATCCAAGATGTCGAGGTGGATCCGCTGCGCATCGTCCACGATGTCGAAGTTCGGAGTTCTGGATTTTGCGTCGGGCATCGGTGGTGGCAAGATCCGTAAATCCGACGTTATCTCCGCTGTTAAAAGGTGAATGTTCATCACCCTTATTTAATTATTTTTCTCTGTACAAGTGTATTTAAGTGGATGCAATTCGGTATTAGAATTTTTCAGATTAGGAGAGTAACGTCAATTGACATGTTATTTAATGGGGCAATCTGTATAGATTATATTTATCACATCTTTATAAAAGAGTCTACTTATATAGGATTTAGAGAACAACCGGTTTTATCATTGCATTTTGCGATATTGATTTATCGTATAATTCATCTAGGATGGGCACGAATAAGATATCCGAATTTGTAGAGTTACCCGAATGCGAATTCTAATTTCTCATAAAATAATACCTGAATTAAAACCCATTTGTTTGGTTACGTACCCAAAAATCGAGTATTCGAGTTAATTTTCACCAACACGAAATTTAAAGACAATTTAAAAAGAAATACAACAATATATATATCATATACAAACTACAAACTAATATACATAGAAATTATAATATGTATACAAATATAACAATCTTACAATATGGTAGAAAAAAAACAAATATAAAGATATAAATAAATAATATAGTTTGAGAGTATCATAAATTTAGAATTAGAGTTGTATACAATATAATTAAAAAATATGGGTAAAATTGTAAATTTATGATTATCGATACCCGCGAATAATTATATGTCTCAAACTTCATTATCTCAACCCCCAGCCCGAATTTCGGATTTTTCTAAAAATTATATAAATGGGATGCCAGAATTTTCCACGAACATTAGTTTTTTTATTAATTATATAAAAAGGAAATTAATGATACAGGTATGAGAAATATCAGGTCTTTAAAGGAACAAAGGAAGAGACCAAAGCCGACTGCGTTGACATGGTAATTGTTGCAAATTAAGTGTTTTACACAAATCATCATCATCATCATCGTCATCGTCATCATCGTCATCATGATGCATTAATGTTTTCTTGTAAATATATTTCAGACTAATGGATATTACAATCTTACTACTAGCTTTTACGAGTACGGTTGGGGTGAATCCTTCCACTTCGCAAACAGGTAAAAAGAGACGGGTTTTAATCCTCGGATTCTTCTTGGCGATCCATACTTTTATGTACGATGATGAAACGCCCGATGGCTCGGCAGATTCAAAGGAGAAACATTTCGAGAGAGCATTAAGCGGCATGAGCATTTCGTCGCCCTTCAACTCGGCCTCAAACCGGGCCAAAAGGTTCGAATTCTGTCTTGGCATAAACAGAAACTAATCAAGTGGACCGTTCGATGTTTTGATCTTTGTTTCGGCTTGTAAAGATGCAAGCTTTTTCGTGTTTTCTGGTTAGGTGTTAGATGTTGGATGTGGAATTGGCGGACCATTAAGAGAAATTGCTCAGTTCAGGTGAATGATTATTATACTTGTTGATATATATATATATATATATATATGTGTGTGAAATATAAAATTTTATCTTATTTTACATTTACCCTAATGCTGAGTACAACTCGACTTGTCAAATTTCGCAGCCAAGCATCAGTTACGGGCCTCACCAATAACGAATATCAAATCACTAGAGGAGAGGTATACATATTACATATATATATATATATATATGTTCCATGTTTCTCTTTTACTCTTGTTAACTTTAGTAATTTTGGGCAGGAACTGAACCGGGTCGCGGGTGTGGACAAGACATGTAACTTTGTTAAGGTAAGTCGCTCATTGTTTCTCTATCGATTTCGTAGCTCGAAACTCAATCGTGTACAATTTTTTTATAAAAAAAGGTTATAACTTGATTGATATATGCATGCATTGTGATTGAAATTGATGAATGTTTGTTTGAGTTTTTATTTTTCCCAGGGAAATTTCATGGAAATGCCGTTTTCCGACAACGTTTTCGATGCGGTTTACGCGATAGAAGCAACATGCCACGCACCCGATGCCGTATGTATATATATGAAAATGATCAAGATCGGTCTTGTTCATCAATCCATTTTTCTTCTTTTGTTGTTCCTTTTTCATTCATTCTGATTTCGAGCTTCGGTTATCTACCAAGTACGGATGCTACAAAGAGATATTCAGAGTACTGAAGCCGGGCCGATGTTTCGCGGTCTATGAGTGGTGCATGACCGATTCATTCGATCCAAATAACGTCGAGCATCAGCGAATAAAGGTTGATCGTTTTTCAATATATAACAAATCCTTTTTTGTTTTTCTCACATTCGAAAGTTATAAAAATATTCGGTTATGTAGGCGAATATAGAGACCGGGGATGGTATTGAAGACCTAAGGCCAGTTTCCCAGTGCCTCGAAGCTCTGAAGCAAGCGGGTTTCGAAGTGAGGGTCATATATAATCCTCCATCTAATCAATTTATGTGATGAAAAGAGATATATAATATGATTTTAACATGAATGAATCGATTAATTAAGTTTTCATTTCCATGGATGAAGGTGATACGTGAAAAAGATGTTGCCAAGGACTCGCCCGTGCCATGGTATTCACGTATGGAGAGGAATAGTCTTTCGCCTATTGAATTCCGGGCGACACCTTTCGGTAGATTTATGGCAAGATTTGTGGTAACATTTCCGACATGCATGGACCACCCCTCCCCCTCGTTTTTTTTTACGATACATTAATCGATATTTCGATCGAATATTGAATCATATGTTTATAGGTCAGCGCCTTGGAACGCTTAAGACTTGCACCTGAAGGAAGCGAAAAGATTTTAGATTTGTTTGAGAAGGCGACCAAAGGATTAATCGAAGGAGGAAGGTAAGAGAATCCGTTAATAACTGAATTGAATAACATAAAATTGTAAACAAATCGAATCCAATATAAAAATTAAATAGTTATTTTTCTTTAAAACTGAAAAAACTGAAGTCCAATCCGAATAAAAATGAATAAAAAACCAAATTTTAAAAATTGAATATTTTTGCAAAAAAGCTTTAACATAAATCAAACCGAATGCAATATAAAAACAAACCATTACAATTTTTTTAAAACCAAAATAATCAATCTTAGATATAATAGGACTGAATCAAAATCGGAACAAAAATTTGAATAAGCCACCATTATTGACTATAGAGGTGTCAAAATGAACTCAACTCCCGAGTTTGGTCGTTCTGACTCGTTTTTAGACAAGTTAAACCGATATTTTGAAAGCTCGTTCCTAAACGAACTAATTCGTATCATACGTGAGTTCTTACGAGTTATTCGACGAGTTTGGAGGTGGTCGTGATTTAAAGCTTTTTTTAAAATTATATATTTTTATTTGTAGCTTTATATATTTTGTAAAAAAAAATTAATTTTTTTATTTTATATATGTTTAATTATTTTACTTAAGTTTAATGTTTAAATTTTATATTAAAATATAATTTATTTTGTATTTTTTATAATTTAATATATTTTTTTGGGTTGTGTGAGTCGATTCGTTTACTTCGTAAAATTGGCGAGTCAACCCAATTCGATCCGAGTCGAGTCGAGGTGCCGTATTATTGACACGTAATGATAGATATCAAATTCATTTTCTTTCCAGGAGGGAGATATTCACACCCATGTATTTCATCTTGGCACGAAAACCAGAGTAAGGAGACGCAAAAGACATGTAGCTTTTCTTTCTATAATGTTCTCTCTAATTTCTAAGTTATGGGGACTTGTTTGTGTAAGTCCGTTCCTGTTTCTTGGCGACTTCATGACATTTGGGTCGGGACGATATATCTATATATATGTTCGTGTTATATTTTGATAAAAAAAATAATAATTTTTTTCTCGCCTAAGAAGATTTTTTTTTGTTAAACGTAAACTCTATTGATGAAACTGTGTTCTGTAGGGAGGAGGGTGGATTTAATTTCTCTTTAAAAAGACAAAGATACAAAAGCAACTAAACAGAAATACAAACTGTACTAAGACAGTTAGATAATCTCAAAATGGCGAAACTAAATCGAAAGCAGGGAGTTGCTTTGATGCATGCATCCCTACGTGTTCCTGATGGAAGTTAATCGTCTCCGTGTTTGCAGTAGGATCTCCTTTGCTAGAACTTGTCCGGGTTTGGATTCCGATCTGTGCAGCCGTGCATTCCTTTCCCGCCAAATATTGTAAATCGCCCCCTGGAATAGCAATAAAATCATAAGCTTCAAGTAGCGATCCGTCGAGAGTTGGTCCAGACAGCACATCCAGCATGCGAGTGTACTTTGCTCTGTGATGTGCAATCCCAAGTGCTCTAGCAACGAGCTCTAGATGTGAGTTGTGTATGTGCAGTGGAAGAATAAGTGATCCATTGATTCAAGAGCTTGATCACAAAGTAGACAATTCGGTGACACTTGCAGTCTCCATCCTTGTATTCTATCTCTTGTTGATAGCCTGTTACGAGCAACCAACCAAGAGATAAAAGAATGTTTGGGGTCAGACTTCCGAAACTAGATGACTTGTTGCCAAGAAATTCTAGGTGGATGAGTGTATAATAACTGCCAAGTTCTTTGCGTTGTGAATGGCCGAAAACCGGTCGAAGAGTAGGAGGTTGATCCGTGAGTGTCAAATGAAGTGAAACTACCTCATCCAATCTCACTGGTGAGACCGACCAACCATCGACAGAGCAGAAAACACAACCATCGAAAATCCAATCAACGGTTCTTGAGCTAGCCAAGTGTCCGACCAAAATCCGCATTGTAATCTGTTACCAACCTGATATTTCAGAAATTTCCTGACAACAGGTCTGATTTTTCGTGCTTTTTTTTGAATATTTTTTCTATTTAATAGGGCGTTTTTTGTTACATCCTCGAAGAAAACAAGGAAAAATCCATCGAATTATCCAAACTATATATTTTCATGTGGATGGAACAAAAAAACCTTTATACCACTGTCTTAACGTTATTTGCTCCAGTTGCTTAATTATTCGAAATTCGTCTTTTTCTTCTTTTTTTTTCCTTTTTCGTTTCTATAGTTTTTTCTCTTCTTCTCATTGAAAATTTTATAAACGGCGTCTTATATTGCAAATCTTTTGTATACACGGAGTTTTCTGCGATAAGATGAGATTTCTGTTTTTGGTCCACATATGTCTTTTTCTTAAAAAGATTTTAATGTGACTTGCTTTGTAACGACTTATCTAGTTGCCCTTGTTCTTTACTCAACAATAGTAATCCGATTTTTTTTTTTTTTGCAATTATAGAACATACACGTTTTTTTTTTTATTTCTCTTTTTCTTGATTTTTTTTTATTTTATAATTCAGAAGTTCACCGATAGTTTGATCCAATTAGGATATAATTCGAAAATTTTCACAAAGAGATCTATTCTAGTTTAATCACCAACAAGATAATATTGTGATTCTATACCATTTTTCTATTAAATCTGTGTAAAAAATATAAATTGCATATCATATTAAATCGGTTTTTATCGAAAATAATTAAAAAATAAACCTTTTCCGGCGAGATTCCGATGGTTTCTTGTTGAAAATTGGAAAGTGAATATATTTTCATCCGAAACCGAAAATAACCAAAATTTAATGTTTTCCGACGATAGTAAATCAAAATCTCTAGAATACAAAATCCGAAATGATAAACGTGGTAAATGTTTTTATGAAAAATCTTAAGAAAATATTAATAGCATTATAAAACATTAATCGCCCATTAGGATTTGCAGGCTCGATTTTTTTTTTAAAGAATATTTTTGTATTTTATGAGATATTTTATAAATAAATGTTCAGTCCCTTTTATTTTCAATAATTAAAAACAAGTGCTTCTCTCACGCAATTTTTTAAATACCATTGGAAACCGCAGCAGTTTTTTGCACAAGCTTAACCTGCGAGCACTTGCTTTTCCGTTTTCGCAACCTTTGCCAGTAAGCTTATCATACATACATACATACATACATACATACATACATACATACATACATACATACATACATACATACATACATACATACATACATACATACATACATACATACATACATACATACATACATACATACATACATACATACATACATACATACATACATACATACATACATACATACATACATACATACATACATACATACATACATACATACATACATACATACATACATACATACATACATACATACATACATACATACATACATACATACATACATACATACATACATACATACATACATACATACATACATACATACATACATACATACATACATACATACATACATACATACATACATACATACATACATACATACATACATACATACATACATACATACATACATACATACATACATACATACATACATACATACATACATACATACATACATACATACATACATACATACATACATACATACATACATACATACATACATACATACATACATACATACATACATACATACATACATACATACATACATACATACATACATACATACATACATACATACATACATACATACATACATACATACATACATACATACATACATACATACATACATACATACATACATACATACATACATACATACATACATACATACATACATACATTAAAAGGAAAAAAACAGTGGGGGCCAGTGCCCCCACTCATCTCCACGTAGGTCCGCCACTGGATTACATACATACATACATACATACATACATACATACATACATATCATTGTTTTAGTTAGTATTACTTCCTTGATGTTCTGTGTATATATGAAATACCACGATTCTGCATGATATTACTGTATTTGTGTTAAAAGTCAGTAAAATTTTCTGCCGTCAAGAACGATTGCATCTCCCACACTCAAGGTTCGAATCTCACAAATATTTTTTAAAAAAAAGAGTAAAATTTTCAGTTATTAACTTCTTTTCATATTCAATTTTGATTACTGAATTCTAGGGTTTTCAACTTCTTTTCATATTCAATTTTTTTTTTCCTTTTGATAACTATTTTTCCTGGAAATTATACTATCAAATAGATTTGTGGTGGATCATTGAGGATGTCGAAATTCAATATTCTGAATCTTGCGTCGGGAATCATCATCAGTGGTGACAAGATCGATAAATCCGATTCTATTTCTTTTGCCGACAGGTGAACGTTCTTTCTACTTTTAAAATAAAATTAAAAATTAAAAAATTGTACTTTTATCCTTCTCTTTGTTAATTAACCAAAACGTATGATCTTTTCTTATTTCTAAAATTTTATTTGGGATTATCTAAAAGGAAAATAAAAGGTATTCACCGGTATTTTATTGTTTTTTTTTTTTGTTATATATATATGTAAATAACTAAATTTTTATCTAAAAAGATATACTAAATTCAGTAATATACTACAGAGTCTACGTGGAAATTCTCGAATCGACTTACGCTTAGCCTTAGCATATTCCACTGTTATATATATTCCCCAAATCATTGTAAAGATAATGATCTCATTGATGATGCAAGCAGGTATGAGAAATATCAGGTGTTTAGAGGAACAGAGGAAGAGAGGAGAGCTGAATCTGTTGAAATGGTATAAGTTGTAATTAAATATATGATTTTTCTCTTCGATATTAAAATAAATGAAAATAAAATTTTTACACATAACATGTTTTTCTTGTGACGCATTTCAGACAAATAAATTCTACAGTTTCATGACTCCTTTTTACGAGTACAGCTTTGGGGAATCCATCCATTTCGCGCACAGGTGGGGCTCGGTCCTTCACTCTCGGCATGAACATCGATAATTTAGATACGATATATATATATATATATATATATACATATACATATTATCGGTTTTGTTATTAGGTACAAAGGGGAAACCTTTCGAGAGAGCATTAAACGGCACGAGCATTTCATCGCCCTTCGGCTCGGCCTAAAACCAGGGCAAAAGGTTCATCATTGTCACCATTCAAACATTTTGATCTTTGATCCTTTCGAGTTATAAAAATGAATGCTTTTGTGTTTTCTGATTAGGTTTTAGATGTTGGATGTGGAGTTGGTGGACCGTTAAGAGAAATTGCTCAGTTCAGGTGAATGATTTCTTATTCTTGTACTTGTATATATATATATATACATATATATCAAAAACTTTTGCAGTTTATCCTAATATCTACGCTCCCCCAGTACAAATTAATCGACTTTTATCATTTTTTTTTGTCAAAAGATCCGTATTCTATTCTTTTAAATCGCTACAATTTGTCCAAAAAAAAAAAAAATCGGCTTATCGATTCAATTTGCTTATAATCTTACTTATTGTTGGCAACAATCTTTCGCAGCCAAGCATCTGTCACGGGGATCACCAATAATGAATATCAGATCACTAGAGGGGAGGTGTGTATATATATATATCCATATATACTTGGGGAACATATATAATATATCTTACAATTGCTAATTGTATTATCCCCTTTTTTCTCCGATTTGAGGGACTACTATGTGTTAGATTCTCATCGTTATAAAATTTCTATTTACAAGTTAATTCATGCCCTTATATATATATTTCTCTCCTTGATTCGTGTTATTATTATTTTTTTTGTAACTGTTTTTTAGGAACTAAACCGGGTTGCGGGTCTGGACAAGACATGCAACTTTGTTAAGGTGATTAAGCTTATCCTGTCGTATTGTATTTCTATCAACTTTCTCAACGATGACCTAATCGATACAGTCAGTCATTATGATTGAAATTGATGAATGTTTGTTCAGGGAAACTTCATGGACATGCCGTTTCCCGACAACAGCTTCGATGCAATTTACGCAATAGAAGCAACAAGCCACGCACCCGATGCAGTAATGCAATATTTTTCAAAATTGGTCATATAATTCATATATATATATATATATATATATATATATATATGCCTTTTTCTTTCGCTGATTCTTGTCTTTCTGATTTCGAGCTTTGTTCTTCGTTAAGTACGGATGCTACAAAGAGATATTCAGAGTACTGAAGCCGGGCCGATGTTTCGCGGTCTATGAATGGTGCACGACCGATGCTTTCGATCCGAATAATGTCGAGCACCAGCAAATAAAGGTTGATCATGTTTCAATGTATAACAAAATCCATTTTCCTTTTTTCACGTTCAAAAGTTATAAAATACATTCGTTTTATATACGCATGCAGGCGAATATAGAGATCGGGATTTGTATGCCCGACATAAGGCCGGCTACTACGTGCCTCGAAGCTCTGGAGCAAGCTGGTTTCGAAGTGAAATGTTCACCCTAAACTGTCTTAATCAAATTTATGTGTCGAAAAGAGATATATAATATGATGTTAACATGAATAAGGAACCAAAGTTTTCATGATCGTTTCATTTCTATATATGGATGAAGGTGATATTTGAAAAAGATGTTGCCAAGGACTCGCCCGTGCCATGGTACTCGTGCATGGAGAAAAGTTATTTCTCGGAAATAGAATTCCGAGGGACGCCCTTTGGACGATTCATGGCTAGATTTGTGGTAAATTTCTCCATCTGCTCGTCCATTATTATTATTATTATTGTAATCAGTAATATTTGAATACTATATAGTCGCATTTCAATTTTCGATCATTCTTTTTTTTTTTTTTTGGGAATCATGTGGCAATAGGTAAGGACCTTCGAATGCTTAGGGCTTGCACCTAAAGGAAGCTCAAAGATTTTGCGTTTCTTCGAAGAGGCGTCCAAAGGATTTGTCGAAGGAGGGAGGTGAGAGAATCCCTCTATTGCCCTCGCTTTTTCCTTTTTCCCATATATAAATTATAACGTCATTAAAATTTTTAAATTACACAAATTCATAGTATATACACCGAAATAATTTGTTCAATTTTCTCTTCTAATTTGATACATATACGATTCTTGCGTACTAATTCTTTTTTTTTTTTTTGGTTAGGAAGGAGATAATCACGCCTATGTATTTTTTCTTGGCCCGAAAACCAGAGTGAGCATAGGACAAGGAAAAAAAAAGAGGCAATGTAAAATAAAACGTGGTGCGACGTTTTAAAATTTCAATTTCCATCGTGTTTTTTTTTTTTATATATTTTCCTCTTTAATTTCTAAAATTACGAACACATGTTTGCTTGTTTCTGTTTCTTTGGAACTTGTTCTTGACAAGTTTCTTTGGAACTTGTTCTTGACATGACGAAAAATTAGCTAGTTCAATGATTTGATACCCGGCCTCCCATATCTTATATGTCCATCTACACGATTTCAATTCCTAAAAATAATCCATATATGTATATATTCCACCACTCATTATATCTTCTCTATAAGAAAATTACTTTATAAGTTTTTACACAAAAAAAAATACTTTATAAGGCAATTTCGATGTCATCCTATTCAATAATTAATACAAAAAAAATTAATTTTATCAAGATGACAGGTGTAACAATAGTATTTATATAATACTATATTATAAAGATGACAGGTGTACAGACTATAATAAAGTTATCGCCTAATAAATTACCTTGGTAACTTCATTTCCTCATCTTCAGTGATGGGCTACCCAGAAGTTGTCATATGCAACAATCGCATGCATAATAATATATCTCCATTTCCTCATCTTCAAAATTTCAAATGCAAATATATATTTTTTTCAACAACAAAAAAAATCCCAATCCGTTGGATTATAAATACCCAATATTTTTTTTTCCGTTTTTGTTTGAAATATAGGATCTAAATTGATGGTTGAATCGATTCTAAAACAAAAAAGAAAAAGAAAAATAAACAAAATTGGCACGTAAATTAATTGTGGAAAAAAAGTCAAATAAGAAAAAGGAAACGTAATAGCTTGCCCGTCGAGGAAAATAAAACTGGTGGGGAAATAAATAGCGTAATAAATTTACTGATCGAAACACAATCTCACAAGTTTGGTCCAAGACATTATTATAAAGTATAAAAAATAAAAAAAAATATCAATAATAATTAGACGATAATAAAAAAAAGATTATATTATCTCTGTCTTCTTCTTTAAAATCCATTGAAATCCATACTGGTTTTCTGTACAGTCGTGATCAATCTCTTTACTGCTGCGTCGGCGGTAAGCGCTCTCTCTCTCTCTCTCTCTCTCTCTCTCTCTCTTCTTGTCGGAAATACGTTAATACATATGCATCGTCGGTGCCATTTGAGTAAGAACTAGAAAGATAGGAATTTTTACATTTACAAAATAAAAATAATTTAAAAACTTTTTACGTTGTATATGCGGATACGTTATTTAGATTATACGAATTCATCGAAGAGTTTTTGGTAAACAAAAATTCTCATTGTAAATATAAATTTGTTCTTCTAAAGGACATATATATATATATACATACATGTATACATATATATATATATATATATGGTATTGTTTCAAATTTTTGGTAACATTTACACGGTTTATGTAAACCAATTAAATAACAAGAATTAATTAAGAGTACGAAAAAAATGGTATGTATGAATTTTAGCTATATATTTTTTTTTTAAACATTGATTATGATAACATGGAGATTTATGTAAAACTGTTTTAATACCTCATACAAAAATTGTCAATTAGTACGGAAACAACATTTTCCCCGTCTCGAAAATGTGCGTACCATGCATTCGTATTATGTTTTTTTTTTATGTTTTTTTTAACGCTCTTTTAATTGAGACAATAGCAGAAACAAAAGCAAGCGTACGACGATGTCGAAATATGGAGCCATGGATCTCGCATCAGGTCTTGGTGGCAAGATCGATAAATCCGATGTTCTCTCCGCAGTCGAAAAGTGATTATCCCCTTCACTCCAATCTTAATTTCGTGTTTTATTTTTTATAACCTGTAGTAATTAATTTGATGTTTAATATTAGATTCTGATTTTTTTATAGTTTAAATACATTTTCAGAATTTAAAGATTAGTAGAATAATTTCGTTAATACGGATATAAATCAGACGAGAGAGTTGGTACATTTCTTCATATATATATATATATATACATATGAATCAAATACATGTGTCCATCAGACCTTTCAAATTGCATGTAATGAAATCGTATCTATTTGAAAAAAAAAAACAGGTCGTTAACTAATTCCGCTCCGAGTCCGAATTTAAAATTTAGGAAGAAAACATATATTTTAAAATACATTGCTGACTCCCGTCCCCGAGATTAATCCAATACACTCTGTTACCAAACAAAAAATAGTTTCCTTATTTTTTTAATCAATACAAATTAAATTCTATGCATTCGGTTGGCTGATCTGTCAAGTTTGGAAATATTTAGGACAAAATACGAGAATTTAAAACATAGTTATTCATTTGTTTGTAATTATATTTATCTCTATAAGGTTTATTGGCTTTGAAAACGTGGTAGGTCGTTTAATATAGAATACGTTGAACTTCATAAAACCCATACATTAATATATTATTATTATTATTTTTATTATTTTGCCTTTTTTCAAATTCGTTTATAGTTATAGAGAGTAATCTCAATGATGCAGGTATGAGAAATATCATGTCACTCGAGAAGGAGAGGAAGAGAGAAAAGCCAATTGCAGCGACATGGTAATATCTTTTTTTTTTGTTAAAAAAAATTAATATCTTGTCATTCACTGTTTTCATTTTCTCCGATTATTATTAATTTAGTTTATACATATACATATATATATATATATATATATATATGTGCTCAAGGATATAACCATTGACGGATCTAGGTTTAATGCATTATAGTCACGTGTTACTAATACATGGTTTTAATTATTGAAACTAATTTACCAAAACTAATAAAAACTAATATTAGTTTTACACACGTCTCTCCCATAAAACCAAACCATTAAATTTTATATTTGTTAATAATTTATATTTCTCTTGTCATTATATTTCAGGCAAACAGATACTACGACCTTGTGACTAGCTTTTATGAGTACGGTTGGGGAGAATCCTTCCATTTTGCAAACAGGTATAATAATAATAATAATAATAATAATAATAATAATAATAATAATAATAATAATAATAATAATAATAATAATAATAAAAGTAGTAAAAATAATAATAATAATCGTTTGTAAATGTGACGGACCTATTCACAAGACAGCGGGGTCACATATCCCACTTTATAAAAAAAATGTTTAATTTCTCAAAAAAAATTATAAAAATTTAATTTAAATTATTAAATTCCTCCATTATAAAATTAAATTTACTCTCATATTGCCCTCATTTGAAATATTTTATGGGTCCGCCACTAAACGTGATCATCTCGTTCTTCGTGACATTGCATGAACGTTGTTACTAACCCGAACTCTCGTTTTCTTAGATTGAGAGGAGAAACGTTTCGAGAGAGCATGAAGCGGTACGAGCATTTCATCGCCCTTCAACTTGCCCTAAAACCCGGACAGAAGGTTTTTTTTTTTTTTTTTTTTGGTCGAAATGATCATTCTGCATCGATTTCATGTTTGAATTCAAAGAACTAAAGACGAAATGTTCTTGTCTTCTGAATCTGTAGGTTTTAGACGTAGGATGCGGAATCGGTGGACCGTTGAGGGAAATTGCTCTGTTCAGGTTTGAATACCTATATATATATATATATATATATATATGTATATATGAAGTTATCCCTTTTGTTTCTGCTATTATATCGACTTACGAAATCGATCTCGCTGTTCTTAGTTGTTTTTTTCGTGTCGATCTTTCGCAGCCGAGCATCCATTACCGGCCTCAACAATAACGAATATCAGATCACAAGAGGCGAGGTATACATATAACTATATATATATATATATATATATGGTTGTGCATATCCATTGAAAAAAAACCTGATACATCTTGCGAGTCCTAACATTATCTAGACGTGCCGTATTTTTTATTTTTTATTTTTTTTGCGATTTTAGATGTATATAATCTCCCCTATTTAGACATGTTCATGTTAGTTAGTGTTCACCGTACTTCTGTAGGAACTAAACCGGGCTGCCGGTTTGGACAAGACATGTAACTTTGTCAAGGTAACCAATTAGATCTGCAGTTTCCCTATCGATTTCGTAACTCATAACACTCGTGCTGCTATTCGATAAATGATAACTCCGATAATTGCATTTTTGTGGATGATTTTGTTATTATCTGTTAAATTTTCAGGCAGACTTCATGAGTATGCCGTTTCCCGACAACAGTTACGACGCGGTTTATGCAATAGAGGCGACATGCCACGCACCCGACGCCGTATGTAAACTTCAACATTTCCCTTTTTCCTTTCGTTTCGTTTTAACTTTCGAGTTCTTTTCCGAAAATAGTATGGATGCTACAAAGAGATCTACAGAGTGTTGAAACCCGGCCAATGCTTCGCGGCCTATGAATGGTGCATGACCGATGCTTTCGACCCCCATAATCCCGAACATCGAAAAATCAAGGTTTCATTTTCATTAACAGAAACCCATATCAATGCATATATTTTTTCCCCCACTTTTTCTCCGAACTTACGTTTTTCACCGTGAATCTTGCAAAATATACGTTTGTATAGGCGGATATCGAGATCGGAGACGGTCTAGAAGACGTAAGGCTGACTACCAAATGCCTCGACGCTTTGAAGCAAGCGGGTTTCGAAGTGAGTATTCGATATATCTAATTAATGCATCTTACATTATAGCTTTTATATCCAAAAATGATGCATGGAATGAGATGCGAACGCATACTAATAACAATTACTCTATGGGTGAAAGGTGATATGGGAGAAAGATATCGCAAAGGACTCGTGCGTGCCGTGGTATTTACCCATTGACAAGAGCCATTTCTCGTTCAGTAACTTCCGAGCCACGGCCATCGGACGATCACTTACCAGATTCATGGTAAAATATTTTCACACGAAACCCCTTCTCCATACATAATTTTTTTTTATGTGACATTAACCGGTAATTTGAGGCTTAATTAACCCATTATTATATTGTAATTCGAATCGTAATATATATAGGTCAAGACCTTAGAGTGCATGGGAATCGCACCGAAAGGGAGCGGGAGGGTCCAAAAGTTCTTGGAGAAGGCGGCCGAAGGTTTGGTCGAAGGAGGAAGGTGACAGATTTCCATATTATTAAACATAGTTTAATGCTATTATAATAACTCGTTAATGTTAATTAAATTGTTAGTCAAATTGAGATGATTATATTATATATTTACGTTGTAATTATTCTTTTGTGTGTGTGTGTGTGTGTGTTTATAGGAGAGAGATCTTCACGCCGATGTATTTCTTCTTAGTCCGAAAGCCGGAGTGAGCAATGAGAGAACGTGTCGTGTCCCAATGAAATATATATAGTTGTTTCACGTTCGGTATTTTAAAAACTATTTTACGGACGATTATAATAATCGCCCTCCTCGTTGTCTCGTGGGTATTCTACTTTGGACGTTTTGTAATAACATCATAAGACATGCGAATAAACATTTCTATTTTGTTGTGTATTTTGAAATATTTTTGTTGGCTCAAATGGCATGTTTTTATTATGCTAAATTTAAACAAAAAAATGAATATTTTTATATCTAAACTATTGTTCACATTCTACTTTTATATATTAAAGATTTAGGGGAAAATAATTTTACGGTAACAATTATTAATTAATTTTATTGAGATGAAAACAAACAGAGAAACAGAACAGGTGGACGCTTGGCAGCTCCATCAGCCACGCATTGCTGACACGGCACCATAACACTTGTTCTATACATGCCTCTTTTAAATTGCATGTTTCACACACACGCATGCCCAAATTGGATTTTGATATTTGCAAGACAATATTATGCTTCCCTATTATACTCAATATTCGTACAAATATTTTATATTATCCGTCTCTTTTTTAATATTTTATTTCAATTTATTTAAAATATCAATGATTTATTCATATATTGAATTTTCTGATTTTTTTATTTATAAAATCTATATAGACCCTATTTTGGTTTTTTAGTTGGTTTCAAATTTTATTTATTTTGTGTTAAAATTATTTACTATTATTTTTTATTTTGATTCAATATTTATTTTTATACGTAATTACTTTGATTTAAAAGTTATAATTGATTTGTAAATCGATTTTAATTTATATATATATATATATATATCAATTGATTTAATTGAATTTTTGACATACTAAAACAAGATATGAATACAATAAAACAATGAAAAAAAGTTACCCAAATTTTCTCCCAAATGTATATTAAAAATGTAAAATTCCAAAAACATAAAAAAAAAATAGAATAGAAACTGAAATCCTAAATATCATCAAACTAAAGACTTTAAATTACAAAATTGTCCTTGAACTTCTTACGTCAAGTCCCCGCCAACTTAATTCACAGCTCCAAAAAACGCGTGTATCCCACGCTCCAGAAAATCTGAGTAGACGAGGATTTTTCACCCTTATATGAAGTCTCTCCCCCCCCCTCGATATTCGTTTCTCTCGCCAACAAGCAACTCTCTCTCTCTCTCTCTCTGGATGTCGTTCATGGATACGTCGTCGTCGTCGGCCTCCGTCATTGTCATAGGCGCTGGAATCTCTGGTTCGCATACCCGCCGATCGAGACTTGTATTGTATATCGCGAAGGATCTTTCCGAACTCTCATTGTTGGAGTTCTTTTTTTGATGTTTTTGTCAAGGTATTTCGGCGGCAAAGGTGCTCGCGGAGAACGGAGTACGAGACGTGTTGATTCTGGAGGCAACGGACCGAATCGGCGGGAGGATCCGGAAGGAGAGCTTCGGCGGCGTGTCGGTGGAGCTCGGTGCCGGTTGGATCGCTGGAGTCGGAGGTAAGGAGTCGAATCCTGTGTGGGAGCTGGCTTCGAGGTTTAATCTTCGTACGTGCTTCTCCGATTACAGCAATGCCCGTTACAATATCTACGATCGGAGGTTCGATTTCGATTACCCGAATCCACTACTGATTTTGAATTTTCCTTTTATGGTTGTATTTTCCCGTAAACGGCGCCGTACTGATTTTGGAGGTTTTCCAAAAGTTTTGTCGTTTTATTTTCTCTGTTTTTGGTTGTTTGTGGGCGTTTGACTTATTTGGTTCAATGGATGGGAATTGAGTTGCAGTGGAAAAATCATCCCGAATGGACTGGCTACTGACTTGTATAAGAAGGCTGTCAACTCGGCTATTCAGAAGCTGAAGAGCTTGGAGTCTAACCGTGACGATGATATCTGCAAAGCCGCCGAAGCACCTTCGTGCGTCTCGTCTCTATCCCTTTCTATACGGCTGAATTGAACATATTGTTTCAAAATCCTTTTTTCCGATTCGTTCAGGTCACCGACGACGCCGATAGAACTTGCCATTGATTTTATCCTACATGATTTCGAGATGGCAGGTAAGTTCTGATTTCGGTATTGCTGTTGCTTAATTTCACTGTTTGGTTGCTTGGTTGCAAGGAAGTCCAAGAACACAGATTCTGGGTAATCATTGTTGATTCTTACTTCAGGATTGAAATTTGATTGTGCGGGGGACAATTTCTGCATCATCTTCGTCTTTCTGGGTTCGATATACGTTTTGCTAATTGCTTGAATTCCTTCTTCTGTTTTTTTTTTTGGTTCAGAGGTTGAGCCAATATCAACGTATGTGGACTTTGGTGAGAGGGAATTTTTGGTTGCTGACGAAAGAGGCTACGAACATTTGCTGTACAAGATGGCTGAAGAATTTCTTTATACATCTGAGGGTAAAATCCTGGACAATCGACTCAAATTCAATAGGGTAAATTCCTTTCTCACGATTCCTTCTCGGCTTTGATTTCTTAAAAAAATAATTTGCTGATCTTAGATTTACATGAAAATTTTCAAACATGAGTTGGGTACTGTTGGAAAGGAACATAACATAACTAACCACACAACGGTATCAGAAATTGGAAGTTCTCTCTGTTTTTGTTTGCATGCACAAAATTATCTTTTAGCATTGTTGCCATTGATGAGGTATGATTGACTTCTTTTTTGGAGTTTGGAGCATAATGACGTTGTTTGCGAAAGCTACTTCTGCCTTTCTTTTATTTCTATTTATTGTTTTATTTGTGGAACTGTTCCTTCTAATTTGATTTGCACTTTTTTTTTTCTATCTTCCATCTGATGCGGTCAACTAATCTCTGAGTTTTTTGTACCATTTTCTCTCTTTTGTCCTTGCATTTTTTTTTAAAGTTTTCAACTTTGTACAGTAGCAAGATTCTTTCAGCTTGGGTTTATAATGGAATTGAAAGCTGTAGCATATATACACATTTTTTTATTTAATTTTTGAGGTCTACCATAAACCTTTTTCGCCATTGTTTTGGCACTGGTGTTTCCTCCACCTCATTCTCTAGTTAATACCTCAAGCTTGATATTGCGGTTTTCACGTGTTTGGTGATTTCCCACTGAAAAAGTTCACGTCTTTTCTAAGCAAGTACTCTCGTCTGCATTTGTTCGTTTATTTTTATAAGATGGGAAAGATTTTGGCTTTTAGGAGAGGTATTGCTTGTCGGTAGGAGGACATAGCTTCATCAGTATACACTAGAATGACCAAAATGTAGAATTTATCAGATTTAGATAATAGTGTCACCGTAAGAAACCACGAAACTCGTTACACGAACTGTTTTCTTAGATTGAAACTGCGTATTGTAGACATATTTTCTACGGAGGAGAGATATTAGAAATGGATCTCTAGGCGTTGGGAGGCACTTTTACCGCACATAGTGAACTCGGTGGGGTCTCCATGCTTTATCTTCGCACACAGATACAATGACCCGAGAACAGCACCCCATGAATTGGTGGGGGGTCTTGTCATGATCTCGTGTGTATGATCTTATACACGGAGAGAATTGTCACATTAATTGCATTTAATGGGAATTTGCCATGACTGTCTCATATATCAGCAAGTTTCAGGACGAACATGTTTGACAGCTGACCCCAGAACCCCCACAAATTCACTTTGTTATCACGAAGTTTCCTTTTTGTGAATCTTGTCCCCATCTTTGCAGATTCTTCGTTAATGATGTTAATTGTTTAATTGCTGTTCTCGTTTCCCATAAAATCCAGCTGGGTTGCATTTGTTTGTGCTCATCTTGGAATCTGGCATACTAGTGATTTGTTGATCTCTTTAATTAGAGATCTTTGTGTGATTAGTGATTCTTTAATCATCCTAAAACACAAAGATTAAGCCTGACGTTTTTCGCGCATTAATTTATGGCAGGTTGTTAGGGAGGTACAACACTCGAGGAATGGGGTCGTAGTGAAAACAGAGGATGGTTCCGTATACGAAGCTAATTATTTGATCGTGTCTGCTAGTATTGGAGTTCTCCAAAGCAATCTCATTTCCTTCAAGCCCTCTTTGCCCGTAAGTCTTTCTCTAACTTTATTTTATAAGATCATCAGAATCATAGCACTTTATGGTAATGCAAATATATTACACCTTTAATGCAATATCTTTAGCCTACTAAAACATAAAAAGATATAGGGGGTGACACTGTTTCTTGCACAAAAAAGGGGGATTCGTAATCATTCAATGTATCGGAATCTGTGGGAATATGGGGTCACTCGTATTAGTTTTTCATCTTGTTGTAGACCCTAAGGCCCACAATATTAAATTGCATTAGGTTTAGAAAGTCAGAATTAATGGTGCCTGTGTGTGGCATTTAATATTTGGAAGCTCATTAGTTAAATCACGACAGACATAGATTTTCGAGTTGTCTTTATATCAAACCACACACCAAATACAATGGGTTTTGCATGGGGATGATCCACAGAATTCAGTCCATAGTGGTGTGATTTGTTTAACCTTTCTTTGGCATCTTTACCACTTTCAAGGCAGGTTGAAAAAACATGATATTGTGTTGCCTATAGAAAACTATACAATGCAGACCTATGATTTTCCCAGTTTTACCTTTTGAGATATGGTCCAGCAATAGAAAAAGATATGATCTATCAAAACTTGCGTTGCAAGTATGCAAATCCCACCCATTATCAGTTCAGACCTGTTTTTGAATTCTCATTAGGTAGTTCATTAAGTATGAAACATTAAAGAGCTGGTAGTACTTGGTCTCGGAATAATTTGCAGTTCATGGACTTTTGACAATTCAGAACTTAATCTCTTATGCACTAACTTAGAATCCCGAAATCTCATGACAGAGATGGAAAACCGAAGCATTACACAAATGCGATGTGATCGTGTACACGAAGATCTTCCTCAAGTTTCCGTACTGTTTCTGGCCTTGTGGTCCGGGTAAAGAGTTCTTCATCTATGCACATGAACGACGAGGCTACTACACATTTTGGCAGGTTAGTTTCTATACATGTTCCAATGCCTCTGTTTCATTCCTTGTTTATGTTCCTCCTCTTGCATGCTCTACTATTGAGTCTCTGTTTTTGTTGCCTTGGTTCGGTCCACTCAAAAGATATGCACAAACCGTATAGATCTCTAATTCAGTATTTTATAATTTTTTTTAACAATTTATATACTAAGGGTAATACACTGTCCTTGTGCTGGCATCTAATGCAATTTATTTACTTTTTTTCTTTCTCATTTTCTAGATTATCCTTCTACACATACTAACAAATAATTGCAATTATGGACGAATACATTGATAGCAACGCATTCTTTTGTACGTGGCACATGCATTCTCTACTCTAGATTCATGTTCTGGGGTCAGATGTCTACTAATATATAAATAAACTATAACCAAAAGGCATTGGTCTTGTGTTAAGGTCAGCAAACTTGCCAGATTACTGAAGCTTTTGTTTTATATGTTCAGCTTAGCTCTTAGGGTTTGGATGTCACAAAAAAAAAATCGAAAGTCCGGTTTACATTTTTCTTGGCCTTTTTGCCCTGCACAAAAGCTTTTCTAAAGCTTCAAATTACTTCTCCATCACGGCACTGTACGTGTTATTTGCGATCCATCATCATCTCCCTACCAAAATAAGATTTGCCCATTTTTTCCTTATTTTATCATGAAAAACTCCATGCTTTGTGCTCTGCCTGATATTTTTAGCATAAAACTATACGTTAGGTTACATCAACGTCCCACCACACTGTTAATATCCTTACATTAACAATTAATTATTGTAATTATACATATAAACTATGCTTGGCTTATCTTTCTGCTGATCTGTTGCTTTATCACCAGCACATGGAAAATGCTTATCCAGGCTCCAATCTTCTCGTCGTGACGTTGACCAATGGGGAATCCAAGCGTGTGGAAGCTCAGTCCGATCGTGAGACTCTCAGAGAAGCAATGTCTGTTCTAAGAGACATGTTTGGTCCGAACATACCCAATGCCACAGAGATTCTCGTCCCAAGATGGTGGAACAACCGGTTCCAACGCGGCAGTTACAGCAATTACCCGATTATTTCCGATAACCAGCTCGCTAAAAACATTAAAGTACGTGCTTTTCTTTGTCTGTTCAAAGAAGGAACTCGTAAATTTCAAGAATACCTCACCTGGTTTAGCAGGAAGGTGCAAAGCGTTTTCACCATTCATACATCGAGTCTTCCCAAATTGGAAATTGTTCTGTAGAGTTGAGACTTGGGGTTTGCTTTTGAACGTTTTCTTGTATTGTTGCTTTTCTCCAGGCCCCGGTTGGCAGGATTTTCTTCACTGGTGAACATACGAGCGAGAAGTTCAGCGGATATGTTCATGGTGGATATCTCGCAGGCGAGTGGCGATCTTCCTTTTTGATCGAATGAATGATCAAATGGAAAGCATTAATTTGATTCAACCTTCTAAACGGTTGATGTCTTTCAGGTATCAGCACGAGTAAATCGTTGTTGGAAGAGATGGAGGAGAAAGAGAGACGGAACGAGAACTCCAGCTTCTTGTTAGAGCCATTGCTTGCCTTCACCGAGTCGCTATCTTTGACGACGCAGACCGACTCCAAAGTCTCGAACCTCCACAAATGCGACATCCCGAACCAGTTTTACCTCAGCCAAAAGCTCGGAATCCCCGAGGCAATCTTATGACTAGATGAACCTGAGCTCGACAACGTTTCTGACTATTATATCGGCCATGATGATCGTGACACCGGATACAAACTGAAAGGAAACATCGATTGGAAACAAAGGTCGGAATGGGTGAACAACTTTCCCGAAACCCGCTATTGAAGATGTAACGAAGCTTGCTGCAAAGAGAGAATGACGGGATCGGAAAGACCTATAAGTCGATGAAAAATTCTCGGGAAGCCTTCCGGAACTTAGCAGTGCTAATAACCAGCAGCTGCAAAGAAGGCTCTAAGGTTTGCTCTATTCTTTGGGTGAGAGAGAGATAGAAAAGAGTTGCATTGCATACCCAACTTCGAAATTTATTGCAATTCGTACGAAGCAGCTTAACAGGTATGATTTGTCGAATTATAATATAGGTACTTATACAGAAGGTTTGCCGTTTGCTATTCAACCATACTTGAACTAAAGTGCAATTGTAAGAAAGCGACGACTTGTTTCATGCATGAACATGAAGAACCTTTTCCAGTTATAGGTGTCTGTATTGTCTCCATATTTCGGTTTTCGGGGAACGTTTTATCCAATAGCCAGAGAAAGATGATATATTCTGTAAGATTACAAGGCTAAATCACTGCAACAATATGCACTAACTTAGAATCCCGAAATCTCATGACAGAGATGGAAAACCGAAGCATTACACAAATGCGATGTGATCGTGTACACGAAGATCTTCCTCAAGTTTCCGTACTGTTTCTGGCCTTGTGGTCCGGGTAAAGAGTTCTTCATCTATGCACATGAACGACGAGGCTACTACACATTTTGGCAGGTTAGTTTCTATACATGTTCCAATGCCTCTGTTTCATTCCTTGTTTATGTTCCTCCTCTTGCATGCTCTACTATTGAGTCTCTGTTTTTGTTGCCTTGGTTCGGTCCACTCAAAAGATATGCACAAACCGTATAGATCTCTAATTCAGTATTTTATAATTTTTTTTAACAATTTATATACTAAGGGTAATACACTGTCCTTGTGCTGGCATCTAATGCAATTTATTTACTTTTTTTCTTTCTCATTTTCTAGATTATCCTTCTACACATACTAACAAATAATTGCAATTATGGACGAATACATTGATAGCAACGCATTCTTTTGTACGTGGCACATGCATTCTCTACTCTAGATTCATGTTCTGGGGTCAGATGTCTACTAATATATAAATAAACTATAACCAAAAGGCATTGGTCTTGTGTTAAGGTCAGCAAACTTGCCAGATTACTGAAGCTTTTGTTTTATATGTTCAGCTTAGCTCTTAGGGTTTGGATGTCACAAAAAAAAAATCGAAAGTCCGGTTTACATTTTTCTTGGCCTTTTTGCCCTGCACAAAAGCTTTTCTAAAGCTTCAAATTACTTCTCCATCACGGCACTGTACGTGTTATTTGCGATCCATCATCATCTCCCTACCAAAATAAGATTTGCCCATTTTTTCCTTATTTTATCATGAAAAACTCCATGCTTTGTGCTCTGCCTGATATTTTTAGCATAAAACTATACGTTAGGTTACATCAACGTCCCACCACACTGTTAATATCCTTACATTAACAATTAATTATTGTAATTATACATATAAACTATGCTTGGCTTATCTTTCTGCTGATCTGTTGCTTTATCACCAGCACATGGAAAATGCTTATCCAGGCTCCAATCTTCTCGTCGTGACGTTGACCAATGGGGAATCCAAGCGTGTGGAAGCTCAGTCCGATCGTGAGACTCTCAGAGAAGCAATGTCTGTTCTAAGAGACATGTTTGGTCCGAACATACCCAATGCCACAGAGATTCTCGTCCCAAGATGGTGGAACAACCGGTTCCAACGCGGCAGTTACAGCAATTACCCGATTATTTCCGATAACCAGCTCGCTAAAAACATTAAAGTACGTGCTTTTCTTTGTCTGTTCAAAGAAGGAACTCGTAAATTTCAAGAATACCTCACCTGGTTTAGCAGGAAGGTGCAAAGCGTTTTCACCATTCATACATCGAGTCTTCCCAAATTGGAAATTGTTCTGTAGAGTTGAGACTTGGGGTTTGCTTTTGAACGTTTTCTTGTATTGTTGCTTTTCTCCAGGCCCCGGTTGGCAGGATTTTCTTCACTGGTGAACATACGAGCGAGAAGTTCAGCGGATATGTTCATGGTGGATATCTCGCAGGCGAGTGGCGATCTTCCTTTTTGATCGAATGAATGATCAAATGGAAAGCATTAATTTGATTCAACCTTCTAAACGGTTGATGTCTTTCAGGTATCAGCACGAGTAAATCGTTGTTGGAAGAGATGGAGGAGAAAGAGAGACGGAACGAGAACTCCAGCTTCTTGTTAGAGCCATTGCTTGCCTTCACCGAGTCGCTATCTTTGACGACGCAGACCGACTCCAAAGTCTCGAACCTCCACAAATGCGACATCCCGAACCAGTTTTACCTCAGCCAAAAGCTCGGAATCCCCGAGGCAATCTTATGACTAGATGAACCTGAGCTCGACAACGTTTCTGACTATTATATCGGCCATGATGATCGTGACACCGGATACAAACTGAAAGGAAACATCGATTGGAAACAAAGGTCGGAATGGGTGAACAACTTTCCCGAAACCCGCTATTGAAGATGTAACGAAGCTTGCTGCAAAGAGAGAATGACGGGATCGGAAAGACCTATAAGTCGATGAAAAATTCTCGGGAAGCCTTCCGGAACTTAGCAGTGCTAATAACCAGCAGCTGCAAAGAAGGCTCTAAGGTTTGCTCTATTCTTTGGGTGAGAGAGAGATAGAAAAGAGTTGCATTGCATACCCAACTTCGAAATTTATTGCAATTCGTACGAAGCAGCTTAACAGGTATGATTTGTCGAATTATAATATAGGTACTTATACAGAAGGTTTGCCGTTTGCTATTCAACCATACTTGAACTAAAGTGCAATTGTAAGAAAGCGACGACTTGTTTCATGCATGAACATGAAGAACCTTTTCCAGTTATAGGTGTCTGTATTGTCTCCATATTTCGGTTTTCGGGGAACGTTTTATCCAATAGCCAGAGAAAGATGATATATTCTGTAAGATTACAAGGCTAAATCACTGCAACAATATGCACTAACTTAGAATCCCGAAATCTCATGACAGAGATGGAAAACCGAAGCATTACACAAATGCGATGTGATCGTGTACACGAAGATCTTCCTCAAGTTTCCGTACTGTTTCTGGCCTTGTGGTCCGGGTAAAGAGTTCTTCATCTATGCACATGAACGACGAGGCTACTACACATTTTGGCAGGTTAGTTTCTATACATGTTCCAATGCCTCTGTTTCATTCCTTGTTTATGTTCCTCCTCTTGCATGCTCTACTATTGAGTCTCTGTTTTTGTTGCCTTGGTTCGGTCCACTCAAAAGATATGCACAAACCGTATAGATCTCTAATTCAGTATTTTATAATTTTTTTTAACAATTTATATACTAAGGGTAATACACTGTCCTTGTGCTGGCATCTAATGCAATTTATTTACTTTTTTTCTTTCTCATTTTCTAGATTATCCTTCTACACATACTAACAAATAATTGCAATTATGGACGAATACATTGATAGCAACGCATTCTTTTGTACGTGGCACATGCATTCTCTACTCTAGATTCATGTTCTGGGGTCAGATGTCTACTAATATATAAATAAACTATAACCAAAAGGCATTGGTCTTGTGTTAAGGTCAGCAAACTTGCCAGATTACTGAAGCTGTACGTGTTATTTGCGATCCATCATCATCTCCCTACCAAAATAAGATTTGCCCATTTTTTCCTTATTTTATCATGAAAAACTCCATGCTTTGTGCTCTGCCTGATATTTTTAGCATAAAACTATACGTTAGGTTACATCAACGTCCCACCACACTGTTAATATCCTTACATTAACAATTAATTATTGTAATTATACATATAAACTATGCTTGGCTTATCTTTCTGCTGATCTGTTGCTTTATCACCAGCACATGGAAAATGCTTATCCAGGCTCCAATCTTCTCGTCGTGACGTTGACCAATGGGGAATCCAAGCGTGTGGAAGCTCAGTCCGATCGTGAGACTCTCAGAGAAGCAATGTCTGTTCTAAGAGACATGTTTGGTCCGAACATACCCAATGCCACAGAGATTCTCGTCCCAAGATGGTGGAACAACCGGTTCCAACGCGGCAGTTACAGCAATTACCCGATTATTTCCGATAACCAGCTCGCTAAAAACATTAAAGTACGTGCTTTTCTTTGTCTGTTCAAAGAAGGAACTCGTAAATTTCAAGAATACCTCACCTGGTTTAGCAGGAAGGTGCAATGATCTTATACACGGAGAGAATTGTCACATTAATTGCATTTAATGGGAATTTGCCATGACTGTCTCATATATCAGCAAGTTTCAGGACGAACATGTTTGACAGCTGACCCCAGAACCCCCACAAATTCACTTTGTTATCACGAAGTTTCCTTTTTGTGAATCTTGTCCCCATCTTTGCAGATTCTTCGTTAATGATGTTAATTGTTTAATTGCTGTTCTCGTTTCCCATAAAATCCAGCTGGGTTGCATTTGTTTGTGCTCATCTTGGAATCTGGCATACTAGTGATTTGTTGATCTCTTTAATTAGAGATCTTTGTGTGATTAGTGATTCTTTAATCATCCTAAAACACAAAGATTAAGCCTGACGTTTTTCGCGCATTAATTTATGGCAGGTTGTTAGGGAGGTACAACACTCGAGGAATGGGGTCGTAGTGAAAACAGAGGATGGTTCCGTATACGAAGCTAATTATTTGATCGTGTCTGCTAGTATTGGAGTTCTCCAAAGCAATCTCATTTCCTTCAAGCCCTCTTTGCCCGTAAGTCTTTCTCTAACTTTATTTTATAAGATCATCAGAATCATAGCACTTTATGGTAATGCAAATATATTACACCTTTAATGCAATATCTTTAGCCTACTAAAACATAAAAAGATATAGGGGGTGACACTGTTTCTTGCACAAAAAAGGGGGATTCGTAATCATTCAATGTATCGGAATCTGTGGGAATATGGGGTCACTCGTATTAGTTTTTCATCTTGTTGTAGACCCTAAGGCCCACAATATTAAATTGCATTAGGTTTAGAAAGTCAGAATTAATGGTGCCTGTGTGTGGCATTTAATATTTGGAAGCTCATTAGTTAAATCACGACAGACATAGATTTTCGAGTTGTCTTTATATCAAACCACACACCAAATACAATGGGTTTTGCATGGGGATGATCCACAGAATTCAGTCCATAGTGGTGTGATTTGTTTAACCTTTCTTTGGCATCTTTACCACTTTCAAGGCAGGTTGAAAAAACATGATATTGTGTTGCCTATAGAAAACTATACAATGCAGACCTATGATTTTCCCAGTTTTACCTTTTGAGATATGGTCCAGCAATAGAAAAAGATATGATCTATCAAAACTTGCGTTGCAAGTATGCAAATCCCACCCATTATCAGTTCAGACCTGTTTTTGAATTCTCATTAGGTAGTTCATTAAGTATGAAACATTAAAGAGCTGGTAGTACTTGGTCTCGGAATAATTTGCAGTTCATGGACTTTTGACAATTCAGAACTTAATCTCTTATGCACTAACTTAGAATCCCGAAATCTCATGACAGAGATGGAAAACCGAAGCATTACACAAATGCGATGTGATCGTGTACACGAAGATCTTCCTCAAGTTTCCGTACTGTTTCTGGCCTTGTGGTCCGGGTAAAGAGTTCTTCATCTATGCACATGAACGACGAGGCTACTACACATTTTGGCAGGTTAGTTTCTATACATGTTCCAATGCCTCTGTTTCATTCCTTGTTTATGTTCCTCCTCTTGCATGCTCTACTATTGAGTCTCTGTTTTTGTTGCCTTGGTTCGGTCCACTCAAAAGATATGCACAAACCGTATAGATCTCTAATTCAGTATTTTATAATTTTTTTTAACAATTTATATACTAAGGGTAATACACTGTCCTTGTGCTGGCATCTAATGCAATTTATTTACTTTTTTTCTTTCTCATTTTCTAGATTATCCTTCTACACATACTAACAAATAATTGCAATTATGGACGAATACATTGATAGCAACGCATTCTTTTGTACGTGGCACATGCATTCTCTACTCTAGATTCATGTTCTGGGGTCAGATGTCTACTAATATATAAATAAACTATAACCAAAAGGCATTGTTCTTGTGTTAAGGTCAGCAAACTTGCCAGATTACTGAAGCTTTTGTTTTATATGTTCAGCTTAGCTCTTAGGGTTTGGATGTCACAAAAAAAAAATCGAAAGTCCGGTTTACATTTTTCTTGGCCTTTTTGCCCTGCACAAAAGCTTTTCTAAAGCTTCAAATTACTTCTCCATCACGGCACTGTACGTGTTATTTGCGATCCATCATCATCTCCCTACCAAAATAAGATTTGCCCATTTTTTCCTTATTTTATCATGAAAAACTCCATGCTTTGTGCTCTGCCTGATATTTTTAGCATAAAACTATACGTTAGGTTACATCAACGTCCCACCACACTGTTAATATCCTTACATTAACAATTAATTATTGTAATTATACATATAAACTATGCTTGGCTTATCTTTCTGCTGATCTGTTGCTTTATCACCAGCACATGGAAAATGCTTATCCAGGCTCCAATCTTCTCGTCGTGACGTTGACCAATGGGGAATCCAAGCGTGTGGAAGCTCAGTCCGATCGTGAGACTCTCAGAGAAGCAATGTCTGTTCTAAGAGACATGTTTGGTCCGAACATACCCAATGCCACAGAGATTCTCGTCCCAAGATGGTGGAACAACCGGTTCCAACGCGGCAGTTACAGCAATTACCCGATTATTTCCGATAACCAGCTCGCTAAAAACATTAAAGTACGTGCTTTTCTTTGTCTGTTCAAAGAAGGAACTCGTAAATTTCAAGAATACCTCACCTGGTTTAGCAGGAAGGTGCAAAGCGTTTTCACCATTCATACATCGAGTCTTCCCAAATTGGAAATTGTTCTGTAGAGTTGAGACTTGGGGTTTGCTTTTGAACGTTTTCTTGTATTGTTGCTTTTCTCCAGGCCCCGGTTGGCAGGATTTTCTTCACTGGTGAACATACGAGCGAGAAGTTCAGCGGATATGTTCATGGTGGATATCTCGCAGGCGAGTGGCGATCTTCCTTTTTGATCGAATGAATGATCAAATGGAAAGCATTAATTTGATTCAACCTTCTAAACGGTTGATGTCTTTCAGGTATCAGCACGAGTAAATCGTTGTTGGAAGAGATGGAGGAGAAAGAGAGACGGAACGAGAACTCCAGCTTCTTGTTAGAGCCATTGCTTGCCTTCACCGAGTCGCTATCTTTGACGACGCAGACCGACTCCAAAGTCTCGAACCTCCACAAATGCGACATCCCGAACCAGTTTTACCTCAGCCAAAAGCTCGGAATCCCCGAGGCAATCTTATGACTAGATGAACCTGAGCTCGACAACGTTTCTGACTATTATATCGGCCATGATGATCGTGACACCGGATACAAACTGAAAGGAAACATCGATTGGAAACAAAGGTCGGAATGGGTGAACAACTTTCCCGAAACCCGCTATTGAAGATGTAACGAAGCTTGCTGCAAAGAGAGAATGACGGGATCGGAAAGACCTATAAGTCGATGAAAAATTCTCGGGAAGCCTTCCGGAACTTAGCAGTGCTAATAACCAGCAGCTGCAAAGAAGGCTCTAAGGTTTGCTCTATTCTTTGGGTGAGAGAGAGATAGAAAAGAGTTGCATTGCATACCCAACTTCGAAATTTATTGCAATTCGTACGAAGCAGCTTAACAGGTATGATTTGTCGAATTATAATATAGGTACTTATACAGAAGGTTTGCCGTTTGCTATTCAACCATACTTGAACTAAAGTGCAATTGTAAGAAAGCGACGACTTGTTTCATGCATGAACATGAAGAACCTTTTCCAGTTATAGGTGTCTGTATTGTCTCCATATTTCGGTTTTCGGGGAACGTTTTATCCAATAGCCAGAGAAAGATGATATATTCTGTAAGATTACAAGGCTAAATCACTGCAACAATCCGACAACATAAAGGGAAGCAACTGATCATGACATCTATTTTTAAGCAAGCGAGGCCCACGGCTAGCTCGGTTCGATTATTTCGGTTATTAAATGAATTGAACCGAATAAAGGTATTCGGTTATTAATCGAACTGAACTGAATGATCAATTGATTATGATTTTTCAAAATCTGAACTAAACATATCTAAATCGAACCGATTAAAATTTACTAACCAATTCTCAAAACCCAAAATAATCGAATCCGAACCGAATCTTTATTTGGTTATAATTTAAAATAGATAAAATCAAACCGAAACGAATCGAATAAAATTAAATACTCGTTTCATTATGAATTTTGAAAAACCGAAATAAACGAGTTCAAATTAAGCGTAGTCGATTAACCGAAACCGAACTATTCGTCCACTCCTACCCACGGGTTTTCGGTTTCTAATCTCACTAATTATGATTTCGGGTATTCAAAAAAATAATGAGAGCGATGTTGGGTTCTTCTGGTTAAAAATCAAGTTTTTTTATTATCAAACCAATTAATTATTTTCAAATTTAGCCAATATAATTTACAATTACGAATTATAAATAATACGAAAAAATAGAATTACCTGCCGCCGTCGCATTCACACACCGAGTCCTCGAGGGCAAACTGAAACCCTTATTAAACCCTCAGACAATTGAAGTTGCCGCTTTCGGCAGAGACTAGGAGGGCTCCTCCAATTCCTCCCTGATTTCAACCTCAAAACCCGCTCATTTCTCAATTTGCGAGGAACCCAATTCGTCGGAACTCGGATTCGGACGGCAGAGATGGACATGGAAACAGAGGAAACGGAGATTGGGAAGAACGTGATGTGTCTGTTAACAGACCCAGAAGGAAATCCTTTAGGTTCTGCCATGTATATCCCTCAGAGTGCTGGTCCTCTTCAGCTCACTCAACTCGTCAATAAGCTTCTCAACAACGTAATTTTTCTCTCTTCTGGCTCCTTAATTGACTCAAAGACGGGATTTTGCTGCCTGGGTCTTCGAGTATTTGCAGAAATTTTGGTTCTTTTCTTGGTTACGATATTCAGTTTTACCCTTTTAGTCTGCGGTGATTAAGTGTTGTGGGTTCGTGTTCGGCGGTGCTCTAATTGTCGTATTGAATTTGCTGTGTTGGTTGGTTTCAGGAGGAGAAGTTGCCGTACACTTTCTATGTATCGGATCAGGAACTTATTGTGCCAGTTGGAACTTATTTAGAGAACAATAAAGGTATCATGAAAACGCATACAAATCTGAGATTCTTAATCTCTGCGTTCTTCTCTAGGATTAAGAAGCAGTTTGGATTTCTTACAGCTTTCTGAAATCTAATGTCTTTACTAATGTTTTGGCTCCATTCAGTATCCGTGGAGAAGGTGTTGTCGATAGTATATCAACCACAGGCTGTTTTCCGAATTCGTCCGGTTAACCGTTGTTCAGCTACCATTGCTGGTATGCCACAATTCCTGTTTGTGTTAAACTTGCAAAGGTTTCCCCTATATATGTACGACAACAATTACTTCATAACAATGACCAATTTGTCTGATGAGGAGTATTGTTAGTATGCATTCTTTAACCTGTGAAACTAATTGATTTGTCTGATATAAGGTCACACGGAAGCTGTACTTTGTGTTTCTTTTAGTCCCGACGGTAGACAGCTAGCAAGTGGTTCAGGTGACACCACTGTCCGGCTGTGGGATCTGAACACTCAAACTCCGATGTTTACATGCAAAGGTCCCTTTACATCTTTCTTTTGCATTTACTTTTTTTGTCTCCTCACTGTTATTCTCTATATCATGTTCTTTTAAGGATGATTTATAAGTGTGCTAAGGTACTTTGTTTTTTCTTCTTTTCAGGACACAAGAATTGGGTTCTGTCAATAGCGTGGTCTCCGGATGGTAAGCATCTTGTGAGTGGTAGCAAAGCAGGTGAAGTATGTTGCTGGAATCCACAGACCGGGGAACTACTGGGCAGCCCACTAACCGTAAAGTCTCTTACCCGATGCTACTACTTTTTTTTGGGTAAATTCCACGTGTTTTGCTGTTGCTGATAGCTCCAATTACATTGTCCCCAGGGCCACAAGAAATGGATTACTGGTATCTCGTGGGAGCCGATACACCTTAATTCTCCATGTCGTCGTTTTGTAACTTCTAGCAAAGATGGGGATGCTAGGATATGGGACGTTTCGTTGCGGAGATCTGTTATTTGTCTCAGTGGTCATACACTTGCCGTGACCTGTGTCAAATGGGGTGGCGATGGAATAATATACACAGGGTATATTTCTGAGTCTGTTCATGTTCCTTATTGTTCAATCATATATATCATTCTGACCTATGGTTTAACCACGAGAACAGGTGAAATTTCTTGTCAGATAAGAAAATATGAACCAGAAAAAAATTGCTGTTTTTCATCTTGTTATATGTTAGTACTTTCACATTCATCAGGCATGGATAATATTTTTGCCCCTTTCTTGCTATCTCTGCTCAAGTTTTCATTATGTGTTTGACAGTTCCCAAGATTGTACGATAAAGATGTGGGAGACTACTCAAGGCAAGCTCATTCGTGAATTGAAGGTAACTTTTAGATGTTAGCAAATTTTGGGATATGGTTCTGTCTTTTCTTCCTTTTCCCTGCTGCATCAAATGCTTTCTCAGACGCATGCATACTGTCTCAAGAGACCCGTAAATTGGTCATTGGTTTTTTAGGGTGTGCTCTGTTGTTAATTTCATGTTTTTTGGTGATGGCGACACCTTCATGCAATTGTCCATTATTTGTAAATGATTACATTTTGTGTGGTTTTATGCTCTGAGTATTGCCCTTAAGAGTCTTTCTGAATATCTACGATTACTTAGGGGCATGGTCATTGGGTTAACTCACTTGCATTGAGCACTGAATATGTTCTTCGGACCGGAGCTTTTGACCACAGAGGAAAACAATATTCGTCACCTGAAGAAATGAAAAAGGTAGCTAGCTTCTCATCGTACAGTTCAGTTCAGTTTCCTGTTATTCTGGATTTGGTTCTGGTCTTCACTATTATATTGCTTGCTTCTTTTCCTAGGTTGCCCTTGAAAGATACAATCAAACAAAACGGAATGGCCCTGAAAGATTAGTTTCTGGTTCGGACGATTTTACCATGTTTCTTTGGGAACCATCAGAAAGTAAACAACCCAAGAAACGGTTGACAGGTCACCAGCAGGTACTACTGGAATCTCTGTTTCTGTCAAGTTCTTGTTTTGTCTGAACTGTTATTTTCCTTCTATAATTAGCTTTCACTCGTTTTTCATCAACAGCTTGTGAATCATGTCTACTTCTCACCGGATGGGCAATGGATTGCAAGTGCATCGTTCGATAGATCCGTCAGGCTATGGAATGGTATCACTGGGCAATTCGTCACAGCATTCCGTGGCCACGTCGGTCCTGTGTATCAGATAAGGTCTGATATCTGTCTCCATACTTAAAAGAATTCTCTCTTAACTTGTTTCCAGTGGTTAAACATTTTCTTGTTTCTTGCACTGCAGTTGGTCTGCAGACAGTAGATTGCTTTTAAGTGGCAGTAAAGACTCTACTCTCAAGGTAACTAGTTCTAATGATTAACGAATTGCGCAATGAGAAATGGGCTCGGTGCAATCTTGTCTTTGAATTCTGTCTTGAAACCGATGTCCTCAACCTCGAAGCTGAAAGCATTTTTCACCCTTTTAGGTCTGGGAAATTCGTACAAGAAAGTTGAAAGAAGATCTTCCTGGTCATGCAGACGAGGTATGTATGCTTCACCTTCAGTTCTGATTCATACAGAAAGAAACCATCTCCTTCTCTGTTAAATCTTTCGGCTATTGTTATTCTGTGAAGGTTTTTGCTGTGGATTGGAGTCCAGATGGAGAGAAAGTGGCCTCCGGAGGTAAAGACCGAGTTTTGAAGCTTTGGATGGGTTGAAAGATTGCACTAAGAAGAGACAGAACATCACCCAGCTTGTTTTCCAACAGCATACATACAAAACTGGATCTTTTTATTGAGTTGTCTTGTTTCCCTGCACACAATTTTTTTTTTCTCAAATGGATAATATGTTACACAATGTTACGTGATATTTGTTGGATTTCCAGTCTTAAATGCTTAGTAGACCCTTTTCTCTCAAGCTTTCCACAGTTTCTCTAAGGCTCACTTCCACAGGTGTGAAGTTAATGTCCAAACTCTTTGCCTTCTCTTGTGAAATCTGGAAATGAGGCTCGTTCGGGTTAACATTCTGGTCGACTCTGTCATGAATGAGTCAGGGTTCAGTCAGGAACATTAAGCTGTAAGCATGGATCATGAAACCAATAAACCTTAAAACATCTTTGCTTAAAAACAATGACCACTTGAAACAAATGTAGAATCATCCTGATGTTAGTTTGTGGTTTGAGGTCAAGATTCATCGCTCTTCTCTCATATCTCCGAGTTCAGACAACAGTTAAGATGCTGATACAGTGAACTCAAAGAGGTCCATGTCCATGTCCATGTTCCATAAGTTTAGCCGATTAAGGTAAATGCTCAACAATCTCATGGCATGTTCAGGGTTTCACATTCTTAAGCTCGGAGAAGATGAATATAACTTACGGTTTAGGAAGGTTGGAGTTTGGAAACAGCCGATGCAGAATCTCCAGTGTTTCCTTCAAGGTTAGTATCTTATTCACCAAGCAGTATCTGCCACTAGCTGAAGAAATCTCATAGGCTCTAACATGAGCTAGAGCAATGTCTCTGACATCGGTGAATCTGTAGATTGTGCCAAACAAGGACTTCTTTCCTGAAACCGCGACAAAAAGACAACCTTAAAAGCCTTGTTATGGTTCAGTGAAGAGGAAAGTTGAAATGAAGTACCATGAACTATGTCCAGAATCACTTCCACCGAAGAATTCAGATTTGGCTGCAGAAGAGGACCAATGACCAGTCCTGGGTGCAATGCTACCATATCGATTCTGTTCTCGTTTGCAAATTTCCACGCAGCTTCCTCAGCTAACGTCTTCGCCATCATATACCACAGCTGTAATAGAATACCCTTTTACTCGATATAGCAAAATCTCAAAAAGAGTGCAAATTTTGCAAACTCAATTGCAAAGAATCTACAGATCCATACCCATCGTGAACATAATAAAACCTTAGAATCATATTCCAGGAGGGAGGAGACAATTATTTACAAAATACAAGTACAAGAGGACCCAAGATCAAGTTGCAGGTTTTTTCATAAATGGTTCAAGCATTGAAGATATAGGAAATTTTATAATATGAGCTTGATGATCTAGCCAAGCCAAGTGGAAGTAGAATTTTTCCTATAAATTGCTTCCGGTACTAGTGATTTGGCTTGATGAATGATCCATTTCTTGAAGGTTACACGAGATTGGAGTTAAGAAATAGTTGATCAGTAGAAAGAAGTCCAAATCCAGTGTGACAAAAATGACCAGAATGTTTGTCCATTGTCTGAATATTAGCGATGTCTCTTACTTCAGAAAGCAGATAATAAACAGAAATTTGGATATGTTGTGATCTTTCTTCATATACTCAATATTTTTTTCCTTCATGAGCACAAAATCCATACAATTTCAACTAACAAACCTTCTGTATAACAATCTTAATGGTAATTGTGGTGATGGGCAATGACACATACCTTCATATTCTCACAAAAAACTGGATCTGAAAACCAAGTCTCATCAACTACGGTTTCGGATGTTAGAGGCTTCCCGTTGAACACAACAGATGCCATTGATGATGTTAGAACCACTCTCTTGATGGAGCCAACTGTTGCACATGATCTTAGAACATTAAGCGTGCCTTTGACAGCAGGATCTATCAGTTCAGCCTAAAAGATGTTCAGACAAAAAGAAAAAGACCATAAGAATCTCCAAGTACTTGGCCGAAACAAGATTATCATTTTGGATATACAAGAGAAGAAGATTTACATTTTAGAGAAAACTAATGCGCAATGTCAACATTTTAGACATCAATTCACACAGGTACTCATCATTAAAGCTATATAGGATGGTTTCTCATCATAGAAAGCTAGAGAGTAATGTACATGGCAGACTCCAGGGACTACGGTTTCCATATGGTCAGTCATTCATAGAGTTGGCCAAGGTTTCAGTTTGATTAAAATGGACAAGAATTGAACCTAGTTCAATTTTTAAACCAATTTTGCTACCGAAACAAACCCGAACTGAACCAGAACAGATGAAACCTGAAGAAAACACTACCCCAAATCCAAACAAAGCAATATTTAAAACCGAGGGTTTCAAAGCAAATCCAATTTGATCTCAATTCAGTTCAAGTTTCACGAACCCCCCTCAACTAAACAAAACTAAAGTAAAATCAGAAAAACTCGATCAAATCGATTTGCCCACCCCCTACAAACATCCCACATACTGAGATCAATCAGGTCAAACGCCTGAAGGAAGAAACCAGACACAGTTGATAAGCACATTGTACAAATGAACACCTGAGGGTCTGAAGGAGTGAGAAAAGTGGGAGATGCAGTGTGAAAAACAGCCTCGCATCCATCAAAAGCATCATCAAATGACCCTTCTTCCATTAACTCGGCTTTGAACAAGTGGAGCCTCTCCTTTGCTCCTTCAAGCGCAAGCAAATGCTATGTTTTCTTAGGATCATCTACACAGCCCACACCACAAAAAGTATCAGACACAAGTAATAATTTCAGATAATGTGACAGATGCATACATGGGTTTGCGGCTATACTTACATTAATCACAAACTTAGTCCAAAATCAGAACTTTATAGGTCGAATCTCTTGTTGGGCATTTCATTCACAGGTCAAAGATAATACATACATATCAGTGGCTTGTGTCAAAACGCAGAAACGATCAGAAGGGGCATTAATCACGGCTACTTCGACAGACACACATACATTATCTGTAACAATTCTTGTGATTATCACCCAAAATCAGAACCTAAAAGATCGAATCTTTGGATGGGGATTTCATTCACAGGCCAAAGATCACAACTTTATACAGCGACTATTGATCAAAACGCAAAAAAGAAATTGAACACAAACTTGGATCACGAAGCGTGGCTCTGACAGTGTAGGCGCGTTGAAGAAGGAGCTTCACGAGCCATGAAGCTATAAAACCGGAAGCTCCCGTCACGGCCACTGCCTTCCCTTCACCGCTCATCTCCTTTGTTGCCATTTCATGTCTCATCGATTTTTCTTGCGCCTGTCATGCCTTTAGCAATTTGATCTGATAACCGGTTTGGTTGAATCTTAACTCGGTTTTGAGTAAACCGGTTATGAACTTTACACTTCTACGTATATATGTATTATAGATATATGTACGTTTCCACAGAATAATCGAGTTAATTTTATAATTTTTTCAAAACTAGATTCTAGAATGGTACTTATTTCCAATCGGTCGGGGCCTGATACCGGACCGGGTCGGGTTCGGAAAACCTTGACAAGAACGCCTTGCTGTTTAGATTTTCTAGCGAACAGCCACACAGTGTTTCTAATCACTTAAACCGACGCGGCGTTTACAAGCCAAATTATAAAACGGCAGTGGATCCAAGACAGATCTGTTCCCTCTCTTCAGGAATCCCAAGACAAAATCGAAACCCAATGCTTCTGATACAGATTTGTCGCCACCGATCTCAATAGCTAGTCGTGGCTTGCCACCGGCGTCTTTGGAAGAGTTCTTCTCACTCGCTCTCTCTCGTCGACGATCACTCTTGAGTTTTTTCTCGGTGAAGTTTCCTATAGCTTGAATTCGTGATATGCGCATTTCTATGCTTTGTCTCTGTGTTTAAGTGTTCGTTTGTTTCTTTAGCAGATTGCGATCAAATTCGTATGTAAAAGTGACTAAGCAGATCTGTATTGTTATAGTGATGCTAAATGCGTGTCCTGCACTTAAACAACTTAGTTTGATTCCTCCGAAATGCAGTTTTCATAGTGACAGGTTTGGACTCTGAAATGAACTTGACGATTGATTTTTTGTGGTATCTCATTTCTATCTTCTTGGTTGATTTCATCTGCGTATTGTCGTTAAATCGGCAATCCCTATGATCACAAAATTGAAGCTTTGATCGTCTGACATATTTTTTCCTTATGTTCTTAGCATCATTAGTTCCATTGTGAATCTCTATGGGACATTCAAGTGCAGTTTGGTTCACCATGATGCTATTGTTTTACTTCTTCTGAGTTCGTGATCAATTTATTTCGTAGACAAAGGCCAGTGATCACAGCTTTTTTGCGGATTTGAAATTATCCTCTTAACTCTCAAGTGCTTGCTTAATCTCCTATGTCAAGTTTTGTCTTACAATTGTGGTTTGACTATCAATTTATTGCTGTGGCCAGAATCTGAAAATTGTTGAATACCGATGAAAATTATGCCACCAGAAACTTCGGTTTTATCTTGTATTCCATTTTTCATTTTGTTGGAGTTCTTAACTTCCCTTTTAAACCAAGGCCTGCTTTCATCTGAAGGGAACCAGATGAAAGAGCAACTAGTTGTAATATGGATGTTCTTTGTTCCTTATATATGTATATATGAATTTGAACGGCTTGATCACGTATACTTATGTGTATCTATAAAACCAAGGGAAGAAAAATGCCTTTAGTTTAAATGATGCTGCATTATCTTGTTTGATATTTGAGCCGGAGTCGACATTTCTATTTGCATCAAACGGTTGTTCTGTTCTTCACTCGGTGTATTAAGCATGAGGATAATATATGGTTTAGTTTTATCTCCTGTTGAAAATCATGAGGATGACGTCTGATACAAAATGATGACAGGACATTGTGAAAAATTTAGAGAGAAGGAAGAGATGGTTGGGGACAAAATCGCTCACAGCACTTTGAAAGGACCGAGTGTTGTGAAGGAGATAGTGATTGGCATCACGCTCGGCTGGCTGCCGGTAGTCTCTGGAAGATGCATCACTGGAACGAGCAGAGGAAAACAAGAGCCTTCTATGACTTGCTTGAGAAGGGTGAGATTAGCCGTTGAGTGAAAACCTCTCTAAATAGTAAGTCTCCTGATCAGCTTCTGCCTCGGTTCGATGATTTTCTTTCCATTGTTTTAGATTTTATTGAGAGATCTCAGACGAACAACAAGAGATCAGATTTTCGAGAAATAAACTGATCATGTCATGTTTTTTTTTGTGTGTGGATTTTGACTGCTTTTTTATACAATCGGCATAGAACCATGTCATAGATTATCTAAGTTGACGGAGCTTCTTATTTTTTGGATTGAACAATTTCATTTATTGATCTCAAGATTTTCTTTGGGCATTATATCAAAAATACCCTTAAAATGCTACTTCTACTTCAACACATACCCTTGTGACCAATGTGACCGAAATATAGTATGGTCACATATTGATCTCATTGTTCATAACGTTAAATTTATGATGTTTTAATCAAATGATTAGTAAGATATACAAGGTATGAACATAATGAATTAGTGTGATCACCATAAATTTAACGTTATAATCGATAAAAATCAAAATGTGACCATACTATATTTCGGTCACATTGGTCACATGTGACCAGGGTAGGTGTTGAAGTAGAAGTAGCATTTTAAGGGTATTTTTGATAATGCCCCTTTTTCTTTGTTACGTACACTGTAAATCTAAGATGTGAAGATGTTCAAACCAAGCCTTGTTGAATTTGAACGTAGATGTTCAATCGAAGAGGTATCTATCTAGGAGTTCGGTTTTCAGTTTGAGTTCGATCCGGGTTGGTCTTGTTTTTTTCGGTTTTAGGATATCCATTTTCTTTTTTGTGTTAGATTTGGTTAAGTTTAGTTTCGATTTGGGTTCTATTTGTATTGATAAAAAAATTATTTTTCAAGAAGTTTTCAGTTTTTTAGATTATTTTTTATATTCATTCGGGTTTGAATTTTTGGTTTAAGGAAAATCAAACCCATTCGGTTTCAATATCAGATTTGGTTGAAGTATGGTCAGGTGTTATTCGATTTGGATTGATTCGGTTATAAAAAAACTTGCATTATTGGATTTGAACATCTTCAAATCTTAGAGCTTTAGCATTTGAAACATGCATACGCATACAAGCTTTTATTCATTTCCAGTTTCCAACGTAAGAAAGACAACAGGTTCAAAGAGAGAACCAAAAGCACACATCATGGAAACAGAAAGTACGACAATGACAAATGTGTCCGAGAGAGCGTTATACAAAGCCTTTGCCCTTGAGACTTACAATGGTATCCCTAAGGCTTACCTCCACGGGAGTGAACTCTATGCCTAAACCCTTCACTTTGTCCACACATATCTTGTAATTCAATGTATAATCTCCCTTATCTTTATCCCTGCATCAAAAAAAAAAAAAAAAAAAAAGAGGACCAATTCACCAATTCAAGATTGTTTTCGAGCAATTTTCACGAGTAATTTGGCCTGATGTTTATAAAGTTTACTATGGATACTCGAAGATATCCTCTAACTATGCATACCATACAAGTTTGTTTCAATTTCAGGAAGAAATGAAGAGATATAGGAGGCAACTGACTTATCAGCAAGACGAAGATCCGGGAAGAACTCGTGAAAAACCTTCTCAATCTCTTCGAGGGAATAAAGAATCGAGCCGTCTACAATGTACCTTCCATTGGCCGAAGGAACCTCAAAGGCCTTAACATGAGCATATGCTACATCTCTCACATCCACAAACCTGTAGAGCCTGCTGTTCCATGGATTGTTACCTTTTACGAGTTCATGAACAATGCCCACCGAGTAATTGAGCGTTGGCTGCAGAAGAGGACCGATCACCAGTCCCGGGTTTATCACGATCATATCAATCCCATTCTCCTTTGCAAATCTCTAGGCCGCCTCCTCGGCCAAGATCTTGGAGAATGCATACCAGTGCTGGGAAAAAAAAATAAGTTAGAAACAAAGCTAATACTTTGCTGATTTCATTGATTTATTCATATGAAAGCTCTTGGGACTAAACCAACAATTCACATGGTATGGTGATACACATGCACGAAACTATGTGAAAAACGTGTGCCTGATGATTTGTATTAGAATACGTAATATATTATTTCAATATGGTATCAGAGCAGACGTAATCGGTCACATATTCAAATAGGTTTCATGTGAAGGAGGCAAAGAGGGATGAAATATTTTCTCGTAAAATCGTAATAAGAACACAAAACATGTCATTTTGCAAACCTTTTGATTCTCACAAAGGGTCGGGTCGGAGAAGTAGGTCTCGTCGAACGTAGTATCGGGTCTTAACACGGCTTCATGGATAATAACCGAGGACATTGATGATGTTAAAATGACTCTCTTGACAGAGGAAGCTTTTGCACATGATTTCAAAACGTTAATAGTCCCCTTCACTGCCGGATCCATCAATTCAGCCTTAAGATACATTAAAAACCAATCAAATACAAAAAAAAAGGGTTGATTAAGCAAGAGATCACATGAACAATATTCAAGTGCAACTTAGAGAATGATAATAACAAACCTGAGGATCTTCAACGTCGGTCACAATAACAGGAGAAGCGGTGTGAAAAACTCCGTCACATCCCTCGACCACTGTATCGAACGACCCTTCTTCTCTCAACTCTGCTTTGAACAGTTGCAGTCTCTCTCTCGCCCCCTCGAGCTCGAGAAGATGCTCAGTTTTCTTTGGATCCCCTGTGGATTTTGTTTATACAAATCTCTAATGGAGTCGTGATCTTTGAATGAATATATTTGTGATATGAAAACGAAGCAATCCAAGAATTTTTGGTGTAAAACAGTACTTACACTCTTGAGAGACCTCACTCGTTGGTTTTTGGTGTAAGTATTTCACGAGACTATGCAGTTTTCTACGAATATATATATATATATATATGTGTGTGGGTGTGGGTGTGGGTGTGGGTGTGTAGAGGAGGGAACTTACTGAGGTCTCGAACGGTGGCTCTGACGGTGTAGCCACGGCTGAGCAAGAGCTTCACCACCCACGACGCCACGTAACCAGAAGCTCCGGTGACACACACAACCTTTCCTCTTCCCTCCATCTCCATCTCTCTCTCTCTCTCTCTCTCTCTCTCTCTCTCTCTCTATGTGAGGTCGTCTGCTTGGCAAAAACACTTCAACCCTTACATAGAAAAAAGGCGATTTGGCAATCAAAACGAAGGCGTGATTTCCCAAGTTTTGATTTAAAAAAAAATAAGATGGTACACAATAATTAAGTAGACCAAATAGGATAAAACACTTTTTTCACATTTTAGAAATGCATGTATGCATTCTCATTTACTAGCTAGATGAAACAAAGATATAAGTCTCAAGACGTTAGTGCAAGAGCCTCTCAGATAGAAAGTTTACGTAAGATACGATCATTATATTCACTGCCGTATAATAATGGATAATATATCATATGAAGTAGAGACATATCCTTTTTTCTTTTTCTTCTTAATTTGTCAAAGGTTAGAGACTTTGTATTCTTACAAATCCACTAACACTTTTTCTGTTTATCTCTTTTATTTTACCCTCTCTCTATATATATATAGTTATGATTTTATAGATATAAATTTGTTATTATGGGGATATTTGATAATATTATTTATAATTCTTAAAAATTTATAAAGAGATTTAACATTTTTTATAATTTTTAAAATTTTAATTGACCCGAAAGAAATTCGTACGTTTAGCTTGCAATCTCATGCGATTCGAGTTTTTCAAACTCATTAAAAACGGACTTAAATAACAAATTAGTTCGCGCCAATCCTTACTGTAGTTAGCTCAGTTTTACATCCCTATTTAAGACATTATACTAAATGATACCTTTTTTTTTGTCTCTTAGAATGTTCTCTTTTTGTTCCCCAACAACCATCCTCTCACCGCTAAATTTTTAATTGCTACCCCATCCGTTTCAAAATATTTATAGTTTTAGATTATTTTCTATGTTTCAAAATATTTATAGTTTTACATTTTCAAGACATTTTTTTTATAATAGTTTTCAATTTTATCTATACCAAATTTCAATATATTATTAATGGTTGTATTGTTTTTATCATCAAATAAAGGTATATGTGATTTTTGATTCATTTTCTTAAAAAATGTTTGAATAATTAAAGAAAACGACGAGGAGAGGTGGCATTGGGAATATCTAAATAAAACGTTTCCAAATATGTATGTGTTCTAATCTCCCTCGATAAAATTTTTAAATTGGGGATATTTGTGGGACAAATCTCCAAAGCTTTATGTACAGTAATTCTATAAATCAACATATATATATATATATATATGTATATACATATATATATAATATACATATTATAGACATATACAAACATTTACTCATACACACAGCTTCTTATATATATATATATATATATATATATATATATAAATGCACACACACATATATATATACATATAAGAAAGTGCATGTATATGCATACACATATGTATATGTATATGTATACATGTGTATATATGTACATGATGTGGGTATAAATTTATATTTATGAATACATATGTAGTATATTACTGTGTATGTTATTACGCGTTATGGGTATATGTATATGTAATAATGTATATGTGTGACGAAACTACGCAAATACGGCTATGTGACTTCATGACGTTTAAATGGTGAGAAACGACACGATTTTTATGGCGAGATTTGACCTTTTTAGTTGCGCGGGAAAAAGTAATAGATGCCTTTCGAGGAGAAGCTGATAAGAGGAACCGCGATATTGAGAGAAAAAAAATAATCATCCCCCCTAAACCCTAACAGTGACTGCCGAAGAAAATCCCAATTCCACGCTGCTGGCGACATTGATGGAGATTCCTCGCATACGACGATCACAGACAATGAGAGGGCACTCGCTGTCTCTCCTGCTTCGCTTCCTCGGGACAATTGTGGTGAAGACTTTCTGTTTTTTTTTTCCTGGTTTCCCAAAGATCTGTTTGGTTCTGTGTGTGAGAAGCAGTTCTGGTTGATTTCGCATTTTACACAGCTTTTACTCGCAGGCGACGATCACATACAATGGGAAAATGGTAAACTATGAAATCTGACTGGTGTTTCAATTTTGTTTATTGCACAAGGAGTAGAGTTTGGATTCTGTTCAAGGTGCTTCAGTTTTTCTATTGTTACTCCTTTCAGTTTCCGGCTTCCTAGTTTTTTGGTTAGAGATAAACCATCCATGGAGGTTGAAGACTTCATGGCGGATGGAGCATAACGACACGAATTGATGATGAACTTGACACTGGTGAGAATAAGGGTGTGATTCATATGGATCTCATCATATCTCTTGCGCATGATTTAGTGTTTTTGGATTTAGTGTTATATGTGAAATATTCTATTTCATTTCTACAACGTGTGTACAATGGCAAACCTAAAAAGCATTTAGGACCATGGCTAGAACAGGGAGACAAAAAACACCAGTAGTGTAGTTTATGCATAGTGTCTGCAGTGAATGTTCCTTTTATTTAATTGATTTTTTTGTTTTCTGTTTTAACTTTTGTCATTCTACAGACGAGAAGATCTTGAGGGCAAGAGCAAACTGGTCTTCGAGAATTAGATCAAGTTAGCATTCCGTTCCGTATGTTCATTACCATCTCTGTGAGATTTGTCAGACCTTATTTCAACTTAGCCTTCCAACCGAAAAACTTTTGTCATGGCTTTCTTCTGTTTGCTAGCACTACATCATTCATGATTCGCTTGTTTTGGGGAATGGAGTGATTCTAAAAGTTTCTGCATATGATATATAGTCTGTTTGCACGGCTACAAACACAGTGAGAGGATTGAGGATCATCTGGCTAGAAGGTAATGGTTCAATTGGTTATTTTTTTTCCTTGGTGTGTTGCCAAGTAATTAGACATCGCAGATGAAGCTCTGCGGTTTGTAGTATTGTCGTCTTTAACAACTACACACATCCACAGGAATTTACGCAATATCCTGGTTGCAGATGATTCGCAATTCTCTGATGGAAGAATGATAGGAGGACTCATCAAATGATCTGCAACACTACGGGGTCGTTCATCATTGAAATCCTTGGGTGTCCTTCTCCTTGTTATGTTTTGCTGATATTTTAAATCTTTCTTTTTGCTGCGTTTTGCACTATAAAAGGTTCAAAGATGTTTTAAATCCTTCGAAAGGAAGACATGTAAAACAAACAGTTGAATGTAGCTTGGAAAGAGTAAATCCATTATATATTGACATTTGAAGAATGTTCTGTACAGATTATCTCTCGCAAACAAAAAATGAGTATGAAGTTTATCATGAATAGAACCAACAGAAGTAAAAGAGCTCTTTGAAACAGCTGACTTTGGTGTGTTTGCTGGTTCCGACTAGACCACCTCAACGAAATTGGGGCTGTAGGAGCTCATCTTGGTGGTAGAAACTCGGCGTTCTTGACGTCCGGAACTCTGCCTCCAGTGTTGAAGAAGGGCAGTGGCAGAAGAGCAAATCTTCCGGTCCTTGTGCTTGGTGAGGTGCTCCAGTCTCCGTTCCATTCCATGGGCCTCTATAACTTCCCAATTGACAGGAATGGTCTTGAGCCTTGATAAAAAATCAACGCAGCTAGAAGAATCTGATCGGCCCAAGAGAATGCCCTTCGTGTTGGCTGCATCTGCTGCTTTCTTGGCTGCTTCAAACAACTCCGACAACTCGATTGCCTTCTTCAGTATATCAGCCTGCGTCATCGACCTCTTCTCCTCGTTGGTCTTGACCCTTTTCGGGATGGGAAGCCTCGGGATTGCAGAAACTTTAGGAGGGTGAGGGTCATTCGGTGGCACCTTCTTCTGGAGAGGCCTCTTCGGAACAGCTTTGGGAGGAGCGGTCCTTCTCCCGCTCGCGTAGAGACATCTCAGCAGAGAATCGCGAGTCAACTTGGTGACAGAATCTTGGTGGCATTCTTGATTCTTGATAGTATTCTCGGTCCAATGCTGAATCAGTAGAGATGCGGAAGAGCAGATGTTTCGGTTCTTGTGCTTGGTGAGATTCTCAAGCCTCTCTTGGATGCGGTTTTCTTCAAGAACTTTCCGAGTGACGGTAAAGTACATGAGCTTGGACAAGAGGTCAACGCAGCGAGTGGCCTCGGACTTGCCCAAGAGAATGCCCTTCACGTTGGCCGCATCCGCCGCTGCCTTCGCCGCCTGAAACATCTCCAAGAGTTGGGTTTCATTCTTCTTCGACGTGTCGCATCTCTCTCTACTGTGATCATCCGAAGAAACCCTCTTCGAGACGGAACATGTCGGACTTGGAGAAACTTGAGGAGAATTGGTGGCGGGAAGAGGTTTGGCGTAGAGAATTCTCATCAAAGAAGAGAACAAGTCTCGGACCTCAGTTCGTATCTTAGGGTTTGGATGATCTCTGAGTCTCTCCAGCTTTTGCAAGGATGCCGATTCTCGAAGATCTTCGGAGGAGAGAGACAGACCCTTGAGACATGTAAGAGCTTCGATGCATCTCCTGAGGTTGTCCTTCGTCTTGACCGCGTCGGCCGCTTTCATCGCAGAAACGACGAGGTGGTCGACTTTCCATCTCTCTGTGGCCATCTTTCTTTTTCTGCTTGGGAATGCACGGATCGGAATCAAAGAATACGAAAACTAGGGTTTCAAATGAGACGGATCGCCGGATTGAGAACTCGGAAGAAGCAGAAGAAGAAGAAGAGTGATGGGAGCGAGAGAGAGAGAGAGAGATATGGAAACTTCGTTTGTCTTATATATATATATATATGGGGAGATAGAGATCTGTTTACTTGGAGAGGACAACTGTCCTTCTGACAACAACGGTCACAACCTCCTCCCGAGTTTCCTTTTCTCTCTTTTTTTTTTTGCTGCCGGAATGACCATTTTGACCTCAGTTCCCTTCTCTCTTCCTTTTTTTTTTGCCGCCGAATGACCATTTTGCTCCATCGGCGTTGCCTTAGAATAACGCTGCTACTTATTTGAAACGGAACTAGATTGAATTGCATTGTTTTTTAACAAGAGACTCGGTGATTGTTGGTCTTTCGAATTCAAAATTTTTGACCATATTTCTCGTCCTTTGTTTTTTCCCCCATCAAAATGACAATTTAGGCCTCAGTTTCCTTCTTCCTTTTTTTCACCGAAATATCCATTTTGCCCTCGGTGTTTATGTTAAATTTAATTTAGTAATTTTCATCTAGAACGTGTGAAGGTCCCCCAAACTCAGAAGTCATCTTATCAAAAAGCCATTTTGAAACTTTGACTGTAAAAGCCTCTGAAGGTTTGCTGCGCAAGTTAGGGTTTCATATTGGGAGATTATCCACTTAAAATCTTTTATGGTTGCCTTAACCAACAAGCAACAAACGTTTACATATCCTTGGACACCAATAATCAAAGAGTACACACATATACATATATATATATATATATACACTTGATGAGAATGTGAAATATATATTGCTTGCAAAATATTCTATGCATACGTATCTTCTTTTTCATTTTTTTTTCGTTCTTTATTCCAATGAAAATATCGGATATATGACAAAATCGAATAAGATGAAAGATCGCGTAATCCTCTTTATTTGTGTAATTGAAAGTAAGCGATACAAAAGATTTACAGCCAAAGAGAAACTACCACAACTTATAACAGTTCGGATATTTTTTATTATTATCTTTGTTCGTATCTCTTCACTGGGCATCCGAAATTGAAATTACCAAAAATAACATAAAATCTCCTCCCGAGTCCCACGCCACACATTTCTCTCCCGCCTCATCCCCTCACGCGCCGCCTCGTCCCGGCGCGTGCTCCACACTCGCCTTCGCTCTGCCGGAAAGTTACCGTTATTTATTACCCCACGCCCGAACCCATCAATCGAAGAAACAACAATCTCTCTCTCTCTCTCTCGCTGACATTGATGGCTCTGTTAGCGCCAATCTCAGCTACGCCACTTTTGGCGTCGTTACCGAAGCTTATCGTGTTACCCACGCGCCGCCGTCTCCGGATTCCGTCGGCTACTCTTAGCTCGTCGTCTCCGGAATCGTCGGCATCGATTTCTACAACTACTACAGATCGCCACGACGAGAAACCGTTGGTCGATTTCGCGGTTTCTAGTAACCCAAGTGGGAATCCATTTGTTCGCTTTGTTCGTTCCACGGAATCCAACGTTGAAAGGGTAAGAAAAATTCTTCTGGGTTTATCCAAATCCGTCTCTTTTGATCTTCTCTCGCTCAAAGCTGTTGTCATCTTGAGTTGTGCGCTTGTCTGAATGATCGGATTCTGCAGCTATGTTTTCTCTGCTTGGACTTGATTTTTGGAATCGTGTCAAACAGTTGTAATTATTTTGTCTGAAAGATCTTGTTGGATTCAAAGTTTTGCTCTTTCTCGTGTCCTTTAGCTCCTAGTGTTGTTGTCCGAAAGACCTGAACTTTGGGCATGATTTAGCGATTTAGGTCTTATGTTCTTGCTTCTGCCAAAAGATTCTGATCCATTTGATGATGATCACCTTGTTTTAGGTTGCAGTTTGTTTGAAGGTCGAGTTCTGTTCTTCATTTGTTTCTGATTCCTTTATATCTGAGATCTCCGTAGAGCGAATTCGATTGTGATGTCTTCCGACGAACTATGATGTCTACAATACGTTTTGAGATTCTCATGAGTATCAGTTGCTTGTGAATTCTCTCGTGCAGGCGATCTTTGATTTCCGATTCCTTGCTCTCCTGGCCATTGGAGGTTCACTCGCCGGTTCGCTGCTATGCTTCTTGAATGTAACCCTTTTCAGAATAGTGGAGTGAAAATATTAATTGTGAAGGCTCCAAGATAGAAGCTAACCCGATTTCGGTATATGTTTGATGACTGCTTTTGGTCTACATAGGGCTGTGTCTACATCATGGATGCGTATAAAGTTTACTGGACATGCTGCGTCAAAGGAATCCACACTGGCCAAATGGTTCTCCGGCTGGTTGAAGCTATAGGTAAATCCTACAGCACCTAGCCTGGGAAATCCGCTAACCTTTGTGCACAGTCCCGATTGTTTCGATGTATAGTGAGTTTTTGGAGCTTTGGGTTATAATCAGTGAAGCAGAATGTATACATATTCGTACTCGAAACTTTTTATGTGATGCAGATGTTTATCTGGCTGGAACGGTAATGCTGATATTTGGAATGGGCCTGTACGGGTTATTCATAAGCAATGCGCCTCCTGAAGTCCACTCTGACGCGGACCGTGCCCTCAGATCCTCTTCCCTGTTCGGAATGTTTGCTATGAAGGTAGAGCTCCCTGTTTCGATCCGTAATCCCACGTTGGTTTCTCACGTTTTCTTCGGGTCGAAACTGCAGGAGAGGCCGAAGTGGATGAAGATAAGCTCTCTGGACGAGCTGAAAACGAAAGTGGGGCACGTCATCGTGATGATCCTGCTGGTGAAAATGTTCGAGAGGAGCAAAATGGTGACCATAGCCACCGGAGTGGATTTGCTCAGTTATTCCATTTGCATCTTCTTGTCGTCTGCCTCTCTTTACATCCTCCATAACCTGCACAAGGGAGAATGAACGGTGATCCTGTCGTCAACCTGTACAGTGACATAATGTATGTGCATATGTAGAGACGTTCTCCTCATCTGTAGCTCTTTGCTTGAATCTCAGTTCTAAATCCTAAATGTTCTCTTTGGTGAAAACAATATATATATATGAACAATATATATATATATATATATATATATATATATGACCAAATCATTCTTTATATATATATATATATATATCATTAGAACTATAATTTTAATATCTACGTTATAGACATAAATAACATGTAATTATGATAACATTTTAATTGTCGAGGATCATGCTAGTTTTGTCTATTTGTTTTTCAAAGTATATATATATATATATATATTTTTTTGTATAGATGTATATATATATATATATATATATATTTGTTATTTTGTATGTATATATATAGATATATTTATACATAAGAGTATATATATTTATATTTGTATTTGTATATAGATATGAATATATATGCATATATATATAGATGTATATATATATATGTATTTTTTTTATTTTGTATGCCTATATATATATATATGCATTGCATATGTTTATATATATATGTATACATGTATATGTATTTATATATGTGTATGTACGTATATATACATATAGTTGTATATATAGATATGTATATATGTATTTTTTTTATTTTTTTTAGTTTTTTTTAAATTTTTTAATTTTTTTAAAATCTGACGTGCTATGCTGACGTGGCAAAATTTTTTGTGACCTTCTACGTCAGCCGCCACGTGGCCTTCCACGTCAGTAATTAACTGATATTTTAATACTGTTTTAGATTGTGTAATAAATTATAGTAAAATTGGATAATTCGTGTATGAATTTGGGATATTTGATAATATAGTAAATTCGTGTAGTAAAATTTCATATTTTACTAAATTGGTGTTACCATTTTTTTAATGACCGAATTGATACATAATTTTACTCCTCCAATTCCTTTTTTTTCCCGGTACTTGTATAATTGTAAGTGCTGCTTCACTGCTGCCATTTTTCCCGCCAAATCTGTTCCCCTTCCTACTCTGAAACCCTAATTTTCTCAATATATGGCTGTATAACGGAATTCCGGCGTCGATTTCGATTTTTCTGGCTTACCCAGAGATCTCCGTGTGCGAGAGAAGGTGTATTTATCAGCGATGGAGGAGCGTCGAGCGAAGCGCCCCAAAATTGCCAGGTCTTTATACGTTTCTTTCTTCACTTGCAACTATCTTCGAGCTTAAACCCTAATTGATGAAGGAAAAAACAAATTTTTTCTGGGGTTCACAGGAATTTATGCTGTTTCAACTGATACTAGCTTTGGAACGTTTTCGGTTTGTTCGAAGTAGGGTATTGGGTCCTTAGAAGGAATCGAATCGTGAAAATTTTCATTTCTCTTTGCCTTTCATGATCCCTAGAAATTATCGATGGCTTTGAGGGTACTTGAAAGTTTTTGCCTTGACTATATTATCGGTGTTGAATTTCAGTTTCAGTGCCCTTTAGAATTTTAACAGTTGTCTTTCAGAATTCAGAGCCATAATAGGTCCGTCAGAGTCATATTTAGGGATTTCTTTATCTGAACGTATTTGATTTTCTCCTTAATTTTGCATTTACCTTTCACGTTTGGCAAATATTTGCCTGGAATGTGAATGAATGCACCTTCAAAACTTCATTTTTGTGCTAAGGAAGTTGCAGACTAACCGCTTCACTTCCATTACTTTTTACCTTTTGTTGTAGAGGGGAAGATGACTATTTGCCTGGAAATATAATTGAGATCGAGCTTCACAACTTCATGACATTCAATCACTTGGTCTGCAAGCCAGGGTCGCGCTTGAACCTTGTAATCGGACCAAATGGGTCCGGTAAGAGTTCTCTTGTGTGCGCCATTGCTCTCTGTCTTGGTGGGGAACCTCAGGTTGGTTGGTTGGTTTTAGAAGCTATCCTTTATTATGAACTACTTAAGGAGCTACAGACGATCAAACGTCTGGTCTGTCACTTGTACAGCTCCTTGGGAGGGCGACTAGTGTTGGTGCATATGTTAAACGTGGTGAAGAATCTGGCTACATCAAGATCTTATTGAGAGGAAACGCTAAAGAGGAAGAAGTTACAATCGTCCGTAAAATAGATACACGTAATAAGTCAGAGTGGATGTTCAATGGTTGGTATCTTATTACTTGAATCAAGCTATGTCAAGTGGTGATTCCTATTCTTCTCTGATTTATGTCAAGCCATTTTCTATTTCAGGAAAACTTGCAGCGAAGAGAGAGATAACTGAGATAATCCAGAGATTCAACATTCAAGTTAATAATCTTACACAAGTGAGTTGTGAGGTTTACTTTGTCTTTTGGGTAGAAAGTGAGATTTACTTTTTTACGTGTATGGTTTCACTTTTTGCCAAAATGATTGTCCGTTTAAGATGAATTGGTATCAGTAGTCAGATAGAACTCACAGTACCATGTTTTGACGAGATTCCATAGTTGGAATTCTAGATCCACAGTCATGTTTCCCTTGGCTGATTTACTTGAATTACTTCATTATTTCATTACACTTTTTTATGCAACAATTGATAAATTGGAAAGTTTCTTATGAATAGATTATAATTTCGTTAATGAAATAGTTTGATATGCTGACATGATATCATTTGTTTTCTTCACTGTTTACGTTTACATTATTAGACAGTTGGACACTGCACTGATTGCCTTATTTGTTGCACTTTCTCTAGTTTCTCCCACAAGACAGGGTCTGTGAGTTTGCCAAGTTAACACCTGTGCAACTTTTAGAAGAAACAGAAAAAGCTGTTGGAGACCCCGGACTTCCAGTCCAGCATCGTGCTCTTGTTGAAAAAAGCCGTGAACTAAAGCAGCTTGAAAGAGTAATGACACTTCCACTAGTGAAATGCATGTTTATAAACATCTTATATTACTCATTTGAACATCTTTTTACCGCTTGTCTAGGCTGTGGAGAAAAATGGGGAAACACTGAATCTGCTTAAAGGTCTTAATGATGAACAAGAAAGAGATGTTGTCCGCATACGGCAGAGAGACTTACTTTTGAAGAAGGTTTGTTCAACTCCGTTGTCTTTGTTGTTTCTTTTATGAAATAAATGAACTGGCCATGTTTATGCTTTTAACTATTTACTTCTTTTATAGGTTGAGTCCATGAAGAAGAAACTGCCCTGGCTGAAATACGATATGAAAAAGGCTGAGTACGTGGATGCTAAAAAACATATGAATGAAGCCTCGAAAAAATTGGACGAAGCTGCAAAGGCTTTAAACAACATCAGGGAACCTATTGAGTATGTTTACATCTTTCAGGTGGTATATTGGCCTTTTTCTTTGGGTGAAAATCCCAACTCTTAGGTTGTACTTGGTGTAGAAAACAAAAGCAGGAGAAGGCAGAGATAGATTCAAAGTGCAAAATGGTTAAGAATATGTTGGATGAAAACAGCCGAAAGAGGTGCAACATACTCGAAAAAGAAGACCAGGCAGTGCGTTACTTATTCTTTATCCTCTACTAAACCTTTTCTCTTCTTTAGAACCACTTGCACTGCTAGTAGTTTTTTGCGAGTTTTCTTTTTGTTAATTTGTATATCTGTAGGAGGCACATGTAAGAGCAAAATATAAAGAAGTAGAACAGTTGAAGAAACAAGAGGAAAACCGCCAAGAGAGGATTCTGAAAGCTAAAGAGGATCTAGTGGCTGCTGAACAAGAACTAGAAAACCTGCCTGTATATCAACCTCCGAAAGCTGAACTTGTGAGTCCTAATTTTCTCTGCTGTATAATCATTTATGTAGCAGTTCTTTATGTAAGTTTACCGATTTCCACATGGTTGATTGGGAACTTTAAATATATTTCTAAGATCTGAAAGTGCATCAAAACTAAGGAAATTGAGGGTCGTATTAAGAGGTCCATTTTGGTTTTGTTAATTGAAAATTTTGGTTTTTCCTCTAGAGTAACTGATTAGCACAAACGTTGAAAATCTGTTATATGTGATAGAAACTCTGTCAAACAAAATTTGGATGGGATTGATTCTGGAGCATCCCTCCTCTCTCCAAACACCAGACTTGAATTTCCCCAAAATTCCGATTCCCCCTTCCTCTTTTTTCTGCTCTTTATCTAACTAGTGGAGATTACTAAACTACCCCTCTTACTATTAACAGATCCATGAAACTAAGTGTAACATGAAACTTGTAGACTTTGTACTTGTACGATGTGATTCGGTTTGTGTGCCCCCTAACAACATGGGCTATAATATTTTCTCCTGGGTTATTACATTATGGAGATGTGTTCTAAATGCTTTACTATGGCTGGAGAGACAAACATCAAAATACTAGCATACAATCCCCCTCCCTCCTCCCCATAACAAATAAAACAGTGAACTAACACATTTTTGCATGGTAAATTTTTGGCAGGAAAAAATGAGTGCTCAGGTAACAGAGCTGCAGTTCAACATAAATCAGAAGAAAAATCAGCGGGTGGAGAAGGAAAGACTTTTATCTCAGAAACGACATATTCTGAGGCAATGCATGGATAAGTAATATCCGACCTTCCCTGGCTGATATGTCTTGAATATCAGATTTTAACGTCTTCTTTACTTATTTAGGTTGAAGGACATGGAGAACGCAAATAATAAACTTTTGACTGCATTAAGAAACTCTGGAGCAGAGCGGATATTTGATGCATATCAGTGGGTGCAACAGCATCGCCATGAGTTCAGAAAAGAAGTCTACGGTCCTGTTTTACTGGAGGTATATATTCGAATATTTTTTTATCTGATTACAGGATACTCTGCGTCAATGTTCTCACTTAGTTATGCAAACCAGGTTAATGTTTCAAATCGAGAACATGCTAGCTATTTGGAGGGTCATGTTCCTTATTTTATCTGGAAGGTATACTGAGTTGCTGCTGTTTCTTTTCTTTATTATCAGATATTAAACACATCACATTATTGGTTTCTACTAGAATTATGTCACTTCTTAGCTCTGTTTGGTGATGCAAATTTCCTTGGTTGCAGTCTTTTATCACTCAGGATTCTGATGATCGTGATTTGCTGGTTAGAAATCTAAGGCCGTTTGATGTTCCCGTTTTAAATTTTGTGGACGATGGCAGCTATCGCAAAACTCCATTCCGTATTTCTGATGAGGTAAAATAAGCTTTAATCTTTTATGATCTTGGATGCGCTCTTAGGCTAAGTATGGCCCTATTTCATGTTATTGGACAGATGCGCATGCTTGGGATCCATTCTCGACTTGATCAAATTTTTGATGCTCCTACTGCCGTCAAGGAGGTTTTGACTTCTCAATTCGGTCTGGATGACTCGGTATGCCCTTGTGGTGTCAGATGAAACAGATTGCTTGCTGTCTTTTAAATGTTGCATGGGAATATCTGCTTGTTTGATCAAAATCCTATTGGTAACCTTCTACTACTTATTTTCCACTCAGTATATTGGATCAAAGGATACAGACCAGAGAGCTGAAGAAGTCTCCAATTTGAGAATTCATGATTTTTGGACACCTGACAATCATTACCGGTGGTCTACCTCCAGATATGGTGGTCACGTCTCAGCAAGTGTAGAGCCTGTGCACCCATCACGGCTTCTGTTATGCGGTATGCTTTTATTGTTTTTTCCTCTTGTTCCATTTCCATGAAATAATTTGCTACTTACTGTATGTCTGGACTTAGGGGTTGATGTGGGGGAGATTGAGAAACTGAGATCCAGGAAGGACGAACTGGAAGAATCTGTTTCATCAATAGAGGAAAGTGTTAAATCAATACAACTTGAACAAAGATTGTTGGAAGAAGAAGCAGCTAAGCTTCATAGACAAAGGGTAAGCCGGAAATTTTACAGGTGCTTCCTTTTTTTCGTTCGAGCAGTACGTTCCACTGATGCATAAACTGTCTGGAGTGAATTGAATAATCTATTTGTAACATAGTAAAGTATATACCTTGATCCTGTAACAAGGGTAAAATAGTTGGACCGAATCATTTTTCATCTATGAATTAATTGTTTTCATTTGTTTCAGGAGGAGGTGATGAATGTTGTACACTTAGATAAAAGAAAACGACGTGACTTGGAAAACCGTGTTGGTAAATAAAAGTTTCACTCTACTTTCTTTGTTAAATTACTATAATCTGAGTTTGGCTTTAGTAGGAAGTACTTATGTGGTAGTTTAGATCAAAGGAAGAAAAAGTTACAATCCTTGGACCAGGAGGAGGACCTGGATTCTTCTGTGTCTAAGCTGATTGAGCAGGCCTGTAGAGCTAATGTTGAGCGATATAGATATGCGATCAACTTGAAGGTGCATTTATTTTTGTTTTTGATCTTAAACCTCAGTCTTATTGTAAAATTTAAACTTTCAAGTTTTGCATCAGTACATTGATTTATTTATGACAGAAACTACTCATCGAGGCTGCTGCCCTTAAGTGGAGTTATGCTGAAAAGCATATGGCCTCCATTGAACTGGAAAGAAAGGTACATGACTGATTAGCTTGTCGATGTCTGAATTCTAACGATGACCTAGTCTTGCAATGGCTTGTTGCGTTATGAATTTTTCTTTTCTTTACATTATCTAATTTATTTCAATTTTCAGATAAGAGAATCAGAACTCAACATCAAGCAGTATGAGAAAACTGCTCAGCAAGCATCAGTCAACCTTGAGTACTGTGAGTATAATCATTGTTTAAAGTTGACTGTGTTATTTTGCAGAGATTTACCAATGCTTCTGCGTTGTCTTATCATTAGTTCACAACCTCACATGCCTGCATTGTGTCACCAATCTCCCCTGGGCATATTTGTGTGGATGAATACATATAAAAGTTTTGCACCGTCATAAGACTGATTTCTTTTGCGCCAAAGAAGTATAACTTTTCCATCTCTGGAGTTTCATGAAAATGGATTCCATTGCCATTGCCACTGTCATCCTTTAGATTAGCATTTGCAGTACTTTCTTTCATGCTATGAATCTGGGAGGTGTCATGTTGTTAATGTTGAAAATCGTGAGTTCTGAAAGTTGAATTTATGAAATGTAATGCTTTCTTCTCCCATGTTTCGTGTTCCAAAGGTAAGAAAGAGGTAGAAGGAAAGAAACAGCAGCTATCAGCTGCGAAGAGGCATGCAGAATCGATTGCTGTTATTACACCTGAACTTCGAGAGGAGTTTATCGAGGTTTGTCAATACGTCTGTTTTTGAAAATATTTGAATGCGTAAAAGGTAACACGTATTTAGATGTGCCAGAAAGATTATGACGCACTTTGTGAATGCTTTACACGTCTCGACTGTTTTCACTCTGAAGCATCCCTAAACATTTCCTTTCAACATATCAGATGCCGACCACCATAGAAGAATTGGAAGCAGCAATACAGGATAATGTTTCTCAAGCCAATTCTATTCTTCTCCTGAACCAGAACGTACTCCAAGAATATGAACATCGCCAACGTCAGGTAGATCCATAGTGTCTCTCTTGTCTCTCTTTCAAAATTGTAACCATTCGGCTGTAAAATCTGAATAAATTACTGCACAGATCGGATCTATTGCTACAAAACTTGAAGCAGATAAAAAGGATCTAAGCAAGTGCTTGGAGGATATAGATTCTCTCAAGGTGAGCTAGTTGTATATTTTGGAAACAATTTTTCATTTTTGTTACCCCAGTTGTAAACCGTTTGCAATCACAGTTGCTAAAGTTTGTGGGTTGTAATCATCGATGTTTGTGAAAATTAACCATTTCTTTGAATTCTGTGCAGGAAAGATGGCTTGCAACGTTGAGACGGCTTGTTGCTCAGATAAATGAAACTTTCAGCCGCAACTTCCAAGAAATGGCTGTTGCTGGAGAAGTTTCATTGGGTATAATGCTATGCATTTTCCTCTTACTCAATTCTACCCCGATCTGAGCAGCACCTGACATTTGTGTTCGTTACCTGTTTGCTGCAGATGAGCATGGCACTGACTTTGATCAATATGGAATACTTATTAAAGTGAAATTCAGGTAATGATTTGTAGCGTAGAATATTTTTCAAAGAAAAATGTACAATTTACCTGAAAAATGTACCATGCAAAAATATTTTAAAGAAACATACAACGGAAACAGAAACACAGAATGCCATGCAAGATTTTTCGCCAGCTCTGCCCGGCTCGCTCACAGTAGTACTGTTGTGATGCAGCACTTGATAAAATTCGATTAACGTTGTTATTTTTGAAACTTGGTTCTAGTTTATATATGATCTTTTGACAATCTTTTGTTCCATTCTCATCATTATGTACGCTGGCATTGTTAGTGGAGCTTCAAAATGCCTTTTGGCCCACAGCTAGTATTCGTCATTTCCAAAAGATTGACATGCATTTCTGTTTTGGCCGACAGGGAATCAGGGCAACTTCAAGTTCTTAGTTCCCACCACCAGTCTGGAGGAGTACTTTTCTTTCAATGTTTCACATGTATCTTAGTTAACCAATGCTATTTATTTTCTAACTCGGTCTTGGAACTCCGACTTTCCAGGAGCGTTCAGTCTCAACTATTCTTTATCTTGTCTCTCTTCAAGATCTCACTCACTGTCCTTTCAGAGTTGTAGATGAAATTAATCAAGGTATGTTACGAAACGTCTTACAATCAAGTTTTTCTGGATGATATGCTTGAGCACGGTTTATCAGATGCATATTTGCTTTCTAGGGATGGACCCGATAAACGAGAGAAAGATGTTTCAACAGCTGGTTAGAGCTGCTAGCCAACCGAATACGCCACAGTAAGTATTAGAATCGAGTTCATATCCTCTGTACCGTTTTCCCCTAGACCACTGCTTTTAAAACGAGGCTATATTACCAGGGCGTTTTCTGAATCTACCTGTCTCCATGTCCTGCAGGTGTTTCTTGCTAACCCCGAAGCTCTTGCCCGAATTGGATTACAGTGAAGCCTGTAGCATCCTCAACATCATGAACGGTCCTTGGATTGAACAACCTTCAAAAGGTGATAACTTTCACTTCAATTCTCTCTTTTTCGATTTCAGTTAGATCCTGTGTTTCAAAACATTGAATTCTCTCGTGGGTTTGTGCAAATTTTGCTTCATTCTTTTGTTGGGTTGATTCAGTGTGGAGTTCTGGTGACAGCTGGGGCAACCTCATGAGAACAGCCGAAGCAAGTCGGTGTTCTTAATTAACTTCACCTAGCAAAGCTATGATCCTTGCTGTGTGATGATGCATGGGATTCAGTTTTTTTTTTCTTTTTGTATAATTAAAGAATTAATTGGTGAAAATAGTAAAAAAAATGATTTTTTTTTTGTATTATATTATTTCGGATGAGTTGTCTAGTCTTTACCTTTTTGTCCCTTTCGCTTCAAAAATTTGATCATTCGAGGGGCAATATGTTTAATTTAAATGTTAATTAATTTTAGCAACTTGATAGATTGGTTGCGGCTTCACATTGAATTCTTCCTCCAAGTTACTTTGATAATTTGAGTAATCTATTCATAGTTGCAAACGGTAATATGGCCTCAAATATAAATGGTATTCAATGATTCAAGTATTAATATGGCTAATACTATAAGAATTGAATTGACCGGAAACGAATGGAGTTAGTAACCTCGATCTCGATTCCAAACCTCAATCAAATTGAAATTTAATAACGCTGTCTGGGTTTGATTTACAACACGGGGAGATGGATAAGCTTTAGATCGGCGTTTACAACAGCTGAAATGGATTATGACAACTAAAAAATTCCACTAAGGCATTCTTCTGAACATACATATCCATCAGTGCCATCGCACGTCTTTAGAATGACGGAGAAGATGCAAAGTTTCCTGCACGTGCGACAAAGTGGTCGATTAACGCCATCGTTGGTAACCACTTCAAATCGGTGACCGTCATGTTGGACAATGCTTCCTGGCTCGAGGTACGCGAAGTCTCCACCAATGACACAACCGACATGCAAGGTGAGGCCGCAGTCATCGCATGTGTAGAACCATAGGCTAGGGTCAGTCTCTTTCTCGCAAACATCGCACCAATATTTTTCTGTTTCTTGATTTTCCCCGTAGCATAGGACGAGGGGATGAACGTCCACCTCGTGCTCTACCCTTCTTGGTAAACCAGCACATGAAAAGCACAAAGCATAGCCCAAAGAATATTCACAACCTCTTTCTACACACCTCATCGCGTATCTGTCTTTTGCGCCACAAGCAACGCAGTTTCCTCTGTCACTCGAATTGTAGTACAAGGGATGGGAATGACATTCATGTTCAAATGGCTCACATATTGCAATGCATTGCACATCTACAAAGCTCTCCCAATCACTAGTGTACTTAAAACCATCGGAGAATGCGCAACACAATGGGCAATACTTACGGTAGAAATCTGACCCAACATTTGCTACCAAATCAAGTTGCTGCCCAAACACCATATGTCGTTTCTTGAGGGGAAGATTAGCACATTTTTCATGAAGAAAGGAATCGCATTGCATACAACTGTAGAATGGACCTGAGTTGACAGAGCGTATGCATGCTTTGCAGTGTATGCTCGTCTCGCAGCCATTGCCATCCTCCGTTAGTTTCAGATGGTGTTGTTTGTGACTAAAATGCTCTATCACATTGTGAGCTATCATCTTGAATGGCTCAACATCCTCAACTTCTTCAGGTTTCCAATAGAGCTCCTTCCCATCCCACACATCTTCCGATGTCGCACATCCTGAATGAACGGCATATTGAGGGCATGTGGAGCAAGAATAGGCGCCATACCTCCTGTCAATTGGTCTACGACACTTTCCACACATAGGATCAGGATTCTCCGGTTCAAGGCAATACCTACGAGAAATGCGATGGTCATGGCGGTTGATATTTATGATACGAGGCAAGTCGACGCACTGTATATGGATCACGAAATAACATTGAAGGCAGACGTAAGGGCTCCAATAACCATCCATCCCACAAGCATTGCAAGTGAAGGAGATGCTTATGGGCAGGAGGGTTAAGGTGTGATCATGGGTTGTAAGGCTTAAAATCGAAAGCGGTGGTGGGTTCTTCGCACACTCATTGCAGATGCTGAATTTGCATAGAAAACAACTTCTATTAGAGAGCTCACATTGGCATAGGGGACACATACTGTTTGGGAGGTCATACATCTCGTCCTCCGTGAGGAGTTTGAGAGGGTGAAAAGGGTGAGAAGAGTGGGTTAGCTCTTGCGACAGATCGGCGCATTCCATGTGAAAATAACAATCACATTCCTTGCACTCATAATGATATCCATTGGAATGTTGATCGCAGACATCACATGTGAATCCAATTTCCCGTATCTTTACGTAGGCGAGGGGGTGGCCATGGGCTTTATGGAGTCCCATATCATGCGGCGGAGGGAGTCTCACACAACTCGTGTCCACCCAAAAGTCACACACCGAACAATGGTATGCCACTCCCGAGAGAAGCTCTACGCCACAACAGTCACAGTACTTGTTATCAGTGTCCCTAGACATGAGGATGAGTTTGAGAGTATGTTGTGGATGAGAAGGGGACTCGATCTGTGGTGGTGATTCCGCACATTCTTTGTGCGATTTGAAATCTCGACACTCTGAGCAACGGTAGCCATCATAGATCCAACCTTCTCTTCGGCACAAAGAGCACAGACGAGAAGGCTGATACGAACGGTGGAGGGGATGGTTGTGAGTGAGGAGCTTTACTTGTTCCATGGCAGGTAAAATGAAGAAGATGGTTTCGTTGTTATACTCACTAGCATTACCACGCCAAGGCTCTCTTCTTATATACCATCATTGTCACCGACAGTCGCCTCTCCCTCGTCCAAGATCCGAAACTGGCCTGACACGTCTAAGTAGAGTATCAATGCTAGAAGTGGATGCAAGTAACATATTTTTCAGGAGAATATGTTACACTCATTCTTATTCTTATGGTAATGGTTACTTGCATTTCATTTCTAACATTTGCAACCGATGAGCACCTTCAAGCGTGGAATATCTCTTTTCAATTTTCTTAAGCAAAGAATATATATATATATATATATATATATATACACACACGTTTCTTGGCATATGGTGGCTGATTATTGATGATTACAACTCTAACAGGTATTTTTTTAACCCCAAAGATCTCTTACGTAAGGTTTAAGAAACAATTAATCAGAGAATTCACATGTAAGAGTTCATTGGCTATATGTATCGTCGTCAATTACGGCCGACGAGAGATTGTGGAAAGTAGAAGTTTTCCTCGAATGCAAAATTACTTGCGGAGTTGCCCCCTGGACCAACAGGGGCCAGGAATCTCTCTCTGATGAATATTGAATGGCACATGGGTTCTTCTACTACACTGCTTTTAAATACAATGATTAATAACTTCAAAGCAAGCTCATCATCATTATACTATGGACCGTCAAAATTATAAACATCTTCTCTGTAATGGTGGTTCATACTATTGTAACGAAAGTATTATGTCAAAATCAAATAACAGCAAAATCCAACCATTGTTACTTGTTGTCTTGTTTGTCGACCTGGGCAGCTCTCTTGGATCTGGCACCGACATGGCGTCTGTTCATACGCTCTAGACGGATCTTAACATAAGCCTCGAACGATTTCATATCCTCTGTTACCTTCACAAGCTCCACTGCCGGCTTCTCCCTCACGGTCGGCATCTCTTCTCCTCGCACTTGAAATGCTATCACAATGATGGCCCCTGGAAAATAATCAGATTCAGTATCACAAAGCGATTGTAATGTATATGCATGTGTGTGTGTGTGTGTGTATATATCAGGAACAACCGCAGCCTCGCAGAATCCGATTTCAAACTCGAAACAAAGTAAATCGATTTCGCAAGCAAAAACGACCGCTAAACCAATGATTGAGAAGATAAAACTCGTTGAGAGACAATGGCGAACGAGAGAGAGAGAGAGACAACGGCGAGAGGGA